TGGTTATATGCTTTACCTGCTAGCCAGAAGGTCTTGTTTGCTTTTCTTGACTCTGGTTACATGCTTTACCTGCTAGCCAGAAGGTCTTGTTTGCTGTTCTTGACTCTGGTTACATGCTTTACCTGCTAGCAAGAAGATCCTGTTTGCTTTTCTTGACTCTGGTTACATGCTTTACCTGCTAGCAAGAAGGTCTTGTTTGCTGTTCTTGACTCTGGTTACATGCTTTACCTGCTAGCAAGAAGGTCCTGTTTGCTTTTCTTGTCTCTGGTTTCATGCTTTACCTACTAGCAAGAAGGTCTTGTTTGCTTTTCTTGACTCTGGTTACATGCTTTACCTGCTAGCAAGAAGGTCCTGTTTGCTTTTCTTGACTCTGGTTACATGCTTTACCTGCTAGCAAGAAGGTCTTGTTTGCTTTTCTTGACTCTGGTGCAAACAAGCATATAGTGCTAGAAATATTTGTATGGGCCAATAAGCATTTGATGGTCAATATGGTCATCACACCAGCCACCTTTACTTCTCCAGAGTTTACTTGGTACTAAATTGACCATGGGGAAAATGTTGAACACAAAATGGGACGAATTCAGGAGAAGTGGAAAAAAAAAAAGAGAAATATCCAGGCAACCACTTGTATTATAGTTATTAGACGGAGAAGATGGCACTTTATTGGATAAATCCTGTGAAGAAACAAGCAGAGAATCACCAGACAGGCACTAACATGGAAAAAAAAGGGATTAAGAAGACGAGGATGCCCAAAATAAGCCATAAACATTGATAGGCCAGACCAGGCCAAAGCTGCTGGGCTGGATTCATTCAATGAAACTGAATTGGTAACAAAGGATAGCCATTGAGAACCATTAGGACAATTATGTTTTTTTTTTAAAATCTTTTAATCCCAAGCAGTTGTTTTTTCAACTTCTACTACCCAAAAGCATTTAGCTTAAAAGCAGTATATAATCTGGACCTGAGGAGTTCAACACTGACGCTGTGAGACATAAGAAGTCACACTAATAATCTACACAATAAGGACTGATATAACATTCTTCTGTGACAGAAGACAGATGGTTAATTATGTTATCTTTAGAATGATCCAGAAACGCTATGTTAGAGATTTAAAACTACTGCAACTGAGCGAGGGAGGCAAGTGTGACTCAAGAGAGTAATCTAATACAATCGTACTCGACCAAATGGTAAGTGCCCTTGCCAATGAACCATGCATGGCTTCCTAAGTAAATAAAATTATGTGCTGGTGTAATACTAGGAAGTTATGATAGTGCTGTTTGTGAGCTTTCCCTCATCGGGATTGATTTTCCTAGTAGTTTACAATAACAATGGTAGCTTGCGTATTTTAGAACGTGTCATGTTCTGGGAATGGGTTCTGACAACATTGCATAAAGTATGCGAAGCGTTCCGACCATGCTGAGAAATCCATTTTCCTATAAAGAAAATGCTTTTGTTGTCAGTGTTGACAATCATTTTTTGTTTCAAAACTAGGTAGATAAACTGGAAGATACTACTGCATTATTTTATACCGGGTAATGTACAAGTGAGTTGTTTGAGACTGAAAATGTAATCACAAGAACTGCATGAGATGGACCACCTTAGGCAAAAACACCCAGTGTATCTCACCATGAAAACTGCAAAAGCTGAAACATGATAGATAAAGCTGTCATTAATGCCCGTCATTGCCATTTTTAGGGTAGTTCAGGAAAGGGTTGGTGTGAGTCTAAAGATATCAGGCTACATGGGAAGTGCAGCTGGGGCATGAACTTTACAGGTTAGGATTTTTTTATATCAAATATTGCAGACAAGCTGAGAACCACAATACAATTTTCCAGCTGCCTTTAACTCTAAGAGTCCCAGGGGGTTGAGCATCAGAGGCCCAATGGGTAGTCAAGAGAAATGTAAAACTGGCACATGTTGTATTCATTGGGCTTCTAGGCAGGAACCTATGAAAGTATGATGTGCTCCTTGGGACTAAAAGAGTTAAAAGAAGGAGCCCAAAAAAATGAATAAGGAAGATTATTTGTTTCCCTGTACACAAAAAGACTACTATAAATCTCTGTACATCTGATATAAACATCTACAAATAAAATATTTACACAACAGCAAAAAAAAATATTATTATTGAGAGTTGAGAAAGAAAATTCACAAATCCAATACTGAAAATTAAAAAAATAAAAACCTCAACTACAGTAAGCCCAACTGAAAATGACCAGAATCAAATAGATCTAATTCATTTGCACAAGTAGTGCACAATATATTAAAAATAATATATTTATAAACATTCTCACTAACAAATAGTCAGCATTGTAAATATTAAGAAGAAAAAAAAAATTCTTCCTGCCAACAAGTGACAAAAAAGCGGATATCAGTGGCCTATTGATAAACTGCAGGAGAATCCACAAAATTCTAGTAGTATGAGGTTTTAATCCCGTTGATGACACAGCACAGGACTTATCTTCTTCTTCTTTTTTCTACTCCTGCAATGCCTCGCTGCTTCAGGGCAGGAAAGAGATCTCTGGAACGGGCCTTTCTGTTTGCTTGGAATAAAGTACTTTTCAGTGTCTCTGATGTTTCTGCAGTCCATCTTCTGTGTTGGGCGACTTCTGGATCTGTTACCATTGTATTTGAATAACACTGCTCTCTGTGGTGCTCTATCTGATGCCAATCTTGTTACATGGCCAAACGATATGCTTACAAAATTCAGTATTAGTTATGTGCCGACTCTCCTCATGATATCATTGTTCATAAGTCAGTCTTTCCTCGTTTCACCTAGTATAGTACCTAAACATTTCATTTCTGTTGCGACTATTTTTCTTCTATCTTCTGAAGACAGTGTCCTCATTTGATAGCACAGTGCTGGTAAGAATATTTTGATGAAATGTGACAAGACTTATAAGCTATAATAAAGGAAATACTCAGGAAATAACATACAAACTATAATAATGAAGCATCGAGCACAAGATGTATGAGTTATAATGAGGTATTAAGCACATGACTTACAAGCTAAAATGAGGTGAAACAGATATTGATGCAGATATGTGAGCAAATTATGTTATGACACTGGTAACACTGCTATACTTCTTATATACATTGCACAGAACTTGTTACGTTTTCTGCCTCAAACAAACCATGGTTGGTCTTTCATTCATGCCTGGTGACCTTTTACATGTGCTAGTCTATGCTGCAGAGGTGTCAGGTTATCTTGTCTTCCCAAAGAGCTTTCTATACTGCGCGCCACGTGAGCGGTGAGCTACACGTGGTTTTACTCGTTATTGTATGCACCCGGCAACATTGCATATATTATAGCTTTTCTCGGACTTCAAGTAGGGCATGAAATTACTTCAGCTGTTAGCGTTGTCAAGCGACACGTTGAGCAGTGTTGCTTTTCTGCAGCAAGACGGCTTTTTAGGGCACACCGGAAAAAGTTAACAACTCTGAAAACATGAGACATAGGCCACACACTCGTGGGACGTAAGTTGAGGCTGTAGGGTGGGTGGGGGGTGGTTGGGGTTAGGGCAAGCTGTTGATGTTGTGGGGTCGTAAAAGCGGTCACATCGTGTAATATAGAGCAAGGGATATTGCCAGTGATAGTATTGAAGAAAACAGAACGTGACACGGGACATAGGCTGCATTCTCTTGTCAGTTCTTGGTGTTCTGTTTAAGCAGTCACATCGTGTAATATAGAACATGTAACATCGCTGGTGAGAGCATCAAAGACAATGCTACGTGATATGCCTGTGACATTGACCAGTGCATGTGAACGGTCAAAAAGCATGAATGAAAGGCCAACCTTGGTTTGTCTGAGGCAAAAAGAGTAAGAAGAACCCATAGCACACATAAAAATGCACACACATAAATACAAGACTACCTCTTTCAGTACCAGACAGCTAACAATATATTCATTGCCTACTCTTTATATGCAACATGTATCTTTACTCTTTCTTCCCCATTTTAATGTTATATTAACTCGTTCTATCTCATTCATTACCATAACTCATTATGTTATGTGATGCAATTTACCTCATTCGTTATTATAACTCATTCTATTCCAAAGTAGTATTTTATGGTGATTCGTGATTCGTGAGGATTATCATCACATTTCTCCACGCATTTACTTCATATCCTTCTATCTCGAGGAGTTGAGCTTAAAAGCAATTAATTTTCTGGTCTGAAAGGTTTGAGTATAGACACTATTGAACAGAAATATTTGAGATAGAAATTCAGACGCAAAAGGAAAATATGATGACTGTGATAGAAGACAGCAAGGACATTAAATTTTTTTTGGGGGGGTTGAGGGTGGGGGGTTTAATTCCAAGAAACATGTGGTGAAATGTTGTTTGATGCTGAAAGAATCAATAAGGTGAAATCAATTTACTGAATTCATAAAACAAAGGATGTTAGCAGTGCATTAGAAAGAAGAAAAAAAAAGGTTTAAAAATATTAATTTTTTAAATCCTCAAAAATATAATACATGTACTGACCAAATGATAAATCAAATAAATAACAGTCTTTACCCCTTCTATTTAGCATACAAGTAATACATTTTAAATTCAGAAATGAAGTATTCTTCACAAATTGTGACACATTTTCTTTTACAAAGATGTAATAGGTTAATATTTTCCAAAAGATCATAAGTGAAGCATTCTTCCAGTGTAAATTTTCATTTACAGGTTGTGACAGATGAATACTATTTAAACTGTTCATCCTTAAATTTAAAAAAAAACACTGTCAATACTGACATAGGAAGGGCAGTCTTTGAGCCTGAGGATTTATGGCTGCACAGCTATTGCTGTCGCCAAGGACTATGCAGGTAAGGATTTTTTTTTTTTTAACCTACACCAGAAAAACCCATAACCTTACTGAGGATTCTAAGCTGGATCTCCCGCATGTGAGGACAGGGTTTTTAAATATTATCCACCAAAGTGGGTCAAGTTAACCAATGACAATTCTGTGCACAACATTTAACATTGTAATATTGTGGAGAAACTTGGGATGCATCAGGTCAGCTGTCCTGTTTGCTGCATGCTCAACTGAAGTTGTCTATTCTCCTGGGAAAGTCTGGCAATTTCTTCACCAAGAGTGTCCAGGCTCTCCTAAAACACACAAGTACAAAGACTGAATGTATGTTACACAAAGCTGTGCTTCAATCTTCTTCCTCCTCCCCTTATATTATTTATCCTCCTTCTTCGTAATAGTCTTTTCTTGATAACAATCTTGCTTCTTCTTTTTTCTAAATAATCTTCTTCGTCAGCACCATCTACTGCAACTGCTGCTGCTGTTTATCTCTCAACTGAGTACAGACCTTCAATGAACTTACACCAAACCTTCAGTGGACATTTTCCTGATTAGCTGGATTCTTCCACAGATACGGAAGCTTGACTCACACAAACCTGCCTTAGTCAACTCTAATTTCATGCCTGTTAGATTACAGTTTCTTCCTCTGCTTTTCTAATAGGCTCTAGGTACAATCAGACAATCTTGTTACACAAGATAAAATATACACAAATAGCTTTATACAACGCCTTCAGCCTTTAGCAATATTTAAATTTGCCATCAGTCTCTGTGTAGGACCTCAAGCTGTCTCCCTCTCACTCTAAAGATACAGATTTGTTTTGTCAATACATCGTTCAGTTTCCAAATGCATTTTGGTGGAGTTACAGAACGTGTGCTTTGTGCTTTGTGTGATGCTCTCAGGAGGTGGCTTGCTGTTCTGCTGAGACAAGACAAACAGACAGAAAGAATAACTCAGGCAATAAAATTGATCCTCTCAAATTTAACTGCAACTTGACTTTTGTAATTTGAGCAATCAGTGAATAGCATAATAAAAGTATATAAATACACAAGGCATTCTTGCGATGATTGGGAATTTTACCTTTAATGTAATATTCTTGAGCAGTGTGTCCTCTAAAACAGCTTGCAGTTTATGGTTAATCTGCAGGGACAACTCTAAGGTCATGCTGCCATCTTGTTGATGGACTGAATACAACGAAGCCATGATTCCTCCCTTACGGGCCAAAAGTGACTGAAAGCAAATAAAAATGAGTTAGTTTCACTTTAAATAAAATGAAACAAAATAAAAGAACCTACAAATGCAATATAGTACATGGCTATCTAGCTTCTTTATTACGCACTTAATGTATGTTGGAGGTGAAGGAAAGAAACTGGCGTTGGATAGGAGACACACTGAGAAAACCTTAGAACCATATGGCTAGAATGTCTCTGTACAGAGGGGCATAGAAATATAAGTAGACACACAAAAACACGGAGAAGGGAGCTAAAGACTGAAGTTGAAAGTATGGGAAGGACATAAGGTGAGCTGCATGCTACAGCAAAGCATAGGAAGACTTGGTGTGAGTTGGTTGAGGGCCTATGATCCACTGGGGAATAAAGGGTAGAAGAAGAATGTACCTTGTTCTCTTTTAGTCTGAATCCATTGTTCTGAAGAAAACAAGTAACATTTTAACTTCAACCCCAGAAGATGTCTGTATCAGAGACCAAGGAAAGCAACTACAATGAAATATATGGATCTACTGCTTTCAAAGATGCCATATTTTCTCTCCTCCTCCTCCTTTTCTTATTCTCAATAGACCAAAGGTAATCAAACAATTTATGCTAAGCCCTCTAAGGATCTGCTTATGACTGCATGGATTTTGCAGTTATCTCAAATGAACGAATGAACAAACAAACATTATTTTCAAATGGTCACAAACTGGGCATGCAGATGCACCTTAAGCAATTCTCTAAGGGATAAGGTCACTAGTCTCACTTCAACCCTATTTTGCTACCACTTTCAACAGGCATGATAGGTAACTGAAAATATGCTTTGCTTGTTTTCTGGAACCCAGCAATACACTGGTAACAGCTGGACTGCAAAGTTAAAATACGAAGATGCTTTTGGTGTGCTCATAATAAACCTTGAAGCCGTAGTACCAGAGTGGCCAGATATTTGTCTGCTGGCCTGGAATCCAATTTGCATGGAGTCAAACTTTTTTTTTTTTAAACTGGCGTTGGCTTCCATGTCGACCCTATTAAACATGGGCACCACCAGGTCACGTCCTGGAAAGTAAAGGTGGCTGACCGCATCTCTCACCAAGTGCTGATTGGTCTACAAAAATATGGGATAGCATCCTTTCCCGAATATGCCACTGGTGTAATAAGGGTGCTTTATGTAACAGCATAAATGTTACAGGTATATTCACACTTCTTTCCTTGTCTGAAACACCCAGACAATAGCTGATTACAGATGATGTGTTGTTTGGAACACAAAGAGTTAAAATACCTCCACCTTTAAAAGCCAAAAATAGTACACACAATTATTAAAATAAAACCTTATTAAAAAAATAATTTCACAATTAGCAGTATGAAATGTGTAGCAAATGACAACCAAATGAAAGAAACAAAAGAATATATGGAATGAATTACTAAACATAAAGGCTTCGTATAAAATGTATCATCACATGCAGTTAAAAAGTAAGAACACACTGGTATTACTAACAGCAGACAAGTTTGGCCTGATATATATTACTGTGAATAAAGGGTATATACAATTTGTTTTCAACGGATCTGAAATTAAAAGAAATATTCTGACTCTCATTCAGAAGGGTAAATAACATAACAAAACCCTTGACCTGTCAGGGTCGTGGATGTGTACTGATGGAAGCACTAGCACATAAAACCTGCAATCTTTCTCTGTCTTCCGCTTGATGAATAAGTGTATGATAACTTAGTTAAAGGGTAAATGAGAATATGTGTGTAGTATTCCTCATCTGTGCATTTAACAACAAATTTAGTAGCCGTTAGCACAACTACTGAATGATAATAACTGCAAGTATGTGCTCTGTCTACTGCTCCAAATATTTCTGCATTTGATTCACCATTACCCAGGATCAGATCCACCATTACCCAGGATCAGATCCACCATTACCCAGGATCAGATCCTCCATTACCCAGGATCAGATCCACCATTACCCAGGATCAGCTGCACCATTACCCAGGATCAGATCCACCATTAACCAGGATCAGATCCACCATTACCCAGGATCAGATCCACCATTACCCAGGATCAGATCCACCATTACCCAGGATCAAATGGAAGTATACCATCCTTTTCTTATTTTGTATAAATTCATGGTATAGGCAAGTACTGAAATACGTCTGCACCAGCTAGAGTGGAATGAGATAACCTCTCAGCCAGGCTGCCCAGCAGCTCTGATGGTCAGAAATTCTTTCTAATCTATAAACAAGCCTGAAACAATTATTTATACAAATGTCCTAAAACAAAGAACCACATAAATTGTGCATAAACATAGAATCATCACATCCACTCACAACCTGCTCTATGCAAACAATTATAAAATGCAATGCAGATTATTATTTAACCAAGAGGGTACAGGCGATCAAGGGACACCCAAACACACTTGAAGATGAGAATTACTCTACAGATGTAAATGAATAACACGTGGAGGACAGAAAGTGAGCTGATATGCTGAACTGACATGATTGGTTAAGATCAATGCTCCAGTGGAAGATTTAAAAAAAGGTATAATATGATAACAGAAGAAGATTATTATTACTCTAAAAGATGTCTAATTTAAAATACTAAAACACAGCTATGCACAACTGCCTATGGGTGAACAAATGTAAGGGTGAACAAATGTAAGGGTGAACAAATGTAAGGGTGAACAAATGTAAGGGTGAACAAATGTAAGGGTGAACAAATGTAAGGGTGAACAAATGTAAGGGTGAACAAATGTAAGGGTGAACAAATGTAAGAGGTGAACAAATGTAAGGGTGAACAAATGTAAGGGTGAACAAATGTAAGGGTGAACAAATGTAAGACGGGGGTGGTCCTGGATGGCAGAAACAGAGAATACAATTAGCCGAACTTGCCCAATGGAACATGGCAGGCTCAGTACTGAGTGCAGGAGCACACTAAGGTGGTAATCAGCCTGGGCAGGTATTGCAGAGAATCAAACCAAATAACTGCTGATGCTGAAATCCACAAGCAGGTGTGTCATTATCTATACAGATGGCTGTGATTTGCCGTGTGTGGTCCAGGTGGGTACATACAGTAAAGGGGAATTGGAAGACAGTAAAAGAAGGAAGTCAGACATTCAGTTCAATTACTTCTAATATGATGATGGAGATAGTTGCTGTTAACAGGAGCATTTGCATGTCTGGCGGCGGAATAGAAAGCAACTTACTCATTGATAGCAGCAGACCCAATGCGCATGCTAAAGAAGATCCAAACATGCAGACTCCCAACTGAATGGGTTGACAGCCAGCCTCCACAAGTCCTGCCTGAAGAAACTATCTAGGCTGCACACACCAGGACATGCTAGGATGAAAGGACATGAAAGAACCAACAGACTGGCCATGTCTGCAGTGACTGGTGGAGGAAGAAGAATGGATAGGGCAGACATACTGAACGTGCTGCATTCTAGAGACTTTGAGAAAAGGATTCAAGAGACAATAAACCGCCTGTTGGAAATAGGTAGTAAACAAGGACAAGCATGCAGAAACAGGCTGCAGTGTAATGAAAGAAGATGTGCTAATACTGGGTGTGCTGAACATGAAGACAATGAGGATGGGTTACCAATGGGTGGACGGATGTGCTAGAATGTTGAATGGACAGCAAGCAACAAATATAAACGTCATGGCCTAATCTGCCTAAAGGAGATCAAAAACATGCTTTCATTCAGTACTTTAAAAAAAAAATTTGGGGTTGATAGACTGCTGTGCACACAAAATATTTGTCAAATTATTTACATCCAAACTGATAACAGGTAATAAAAACTACATTAACAGATGTTTTCAAATGTAAAAATAGGTCACTTGTTACTTGTTGCACAGATTTTTGAGGGATTAAAAAAAAAAAAAAGCTAAACATACAGTACTGAACAATCAACAATTAAAATATTTCTTATAAAAACAAAATGGAGGCACACACAAAAAACAAAAGTAACATGTAGTATTGGTTAGGTCTGAAGTTATGAACACTTTATATTCCACTCACAAATACCACTGCTGACCTTTTTATGTGTGTAAAATCTGTTCTTTAAATACCGACAAAACAATTCTTAATTGAAAATAAATATTTTCATTTGTCATCATTTTCTTCCGCTCCTTCTTCTTATCCATAAATGGAGCATAGGCCACCAAATATCTCATGCCAAATTTTACTCTGGAGACTCTTTTATTAACTGGTCGGCAAACAGCCACAAGAATATCCTCACTACCCCCCTACCCCCCACTCCTAATAATGAAACCTATTTGCTTCTTCACTAAGACATGTCGTTTGAAATGATACAAGCAAAAACATCATGGAGGCTCATGTAACAAGACTGGAAAAAAAAATCTAAAAAAAACCATGCTGCTTACTAGTTGAATGTAAATGTAACACACAGCTATAAGTCTAATTTTTTTTTAAATTATTATTAAAAAGAGAACATGATCATGCAAAATATTTGAAAATACAGTCAAAAGGTCTGTATTTATCCACTCAGTTATTATACATAAACAAATAAATTCTAAGATATCAATTCAATCTTTATCACCAGAAACTTGCACAGTGTGAATTTTGTATGTAATTAGATGTCATTACTCTTATACATCACATTTAGTCTTGTCACATCAGACGAGACCAGGCTTATCTTCATCCATTTTCCCAAAAGCCCACATTTACATTTCTTATACACACACATATATATAAAAATGTATATACACACACACACACACACACATACATACATATACACATACATATATATGAGTGCATATATATATATATATATATATATATATATATATATATATATATATATATATATATATATATATATATATATATATATATATATATATATATATATATATATATATATATATATATATATAAAGATCCCTTTTCACACCTTCAGGAGCATCAGGCCTATGGGAAGAGCACCCATATTTTTACAGACCAATCGGCACTAGGTGGGTAATGTGGTCAGCATTAGGCTGGCCGTCTCTACTTTCCTAGGACATACATCATCCTGGTACCCATTTTAGGCTAGGCCATCCTGGGACGCCCCTACCATGATAAAAATCCACGCAACCAGCAGTGGGTTTCGAATGTGGTACGCTGGAATAACGAGTCAGACTCACAACGCCTAAGCCACGGACGCCGCAAATGTATACATGTGTGTGCGTGTGTATATATATTTAAAGGTATTTATTTGGAGGGGGGCACTATCCAGTTTGACTTTGTTGAATTTCTTTTTGTTAAGAGCTGAGGCGAGTCAAATAAGTTAAGAACAACTTCACACCATTCAGGATATTCCCATACGCACGTCCAGCTTCACCATCGGCTGTCAGTGTACAGTTCCTATGCTAAGGGTACCTGTAGCAGTTTGACTGATGTCTCTTGCCTTTCCTCTGATTGCTGAATGTTGGTCATACCCCCTTGGTCACTCCCCGCTGCTCTATTCTATCCAGACTATGATGCTTCATTTGTCCTTCCACACTACTCACTCACTACAAAAGGCCTTGGCCACATCCAGCTTGTCATGCATCAATTTACCACTAGGTGGTGCAGAACCAGCCAGCCTGTCTGCCTGTTCATTTCCCAACACACCTGAATACCCTAGAGAAAATATCCAGAGGATGCCAACTACCAAGGAACTCTGAATCAATGCACAGAGAATACTAGTCTCCACTTTTCTCAGCATGCTCTGTGAGCCTGTGATGATCATGAGAGTTATTTACAGGTATCCTGCTTATTCTGAAAAGACAGAAGACCTACAATAACTATTAGACATTGTTCTACTAGAGAGTGCAAAAGGGGACTTTCCTTGAGTGTCAAGAAAACAGAAACAATGGTTATTTCAAAAAATAAGATAACTCCAAAATGTGTCATAGCAATAGAACGGAAAGTGCTTAACCAAGTCAATAAATTCAAGTATTTAGGGACATTCATAACACCGGATGGACAATGTGTGACAGAAATTAACAGCAGAACTGGCCAGGCAAAGGTAGCATTTCAGAAAATGAAAAGTATCTTATGTAATAAATCACTCTCATTAAACATCATAAAATGAGTACTGAAATGCATCGAGCCTTTTCGGTTGTATGGTAGTGAATCTTGAAATGTGAGCAAACAAATTAAGAAGAGTTTGGAGGCAACTAGGATGTGGTTCTTGAGAAGGATGTTGCGAATACCTTGGACTGCCAGAATAACTAACAATGACTGCCTGGAAATGGTTAATGAAAGTAGAACATTATATACAACCACGAGAAGGAGACTAACACAGTTCTTTTGTCATGTGATAGGAAAAGGGGCCCTGGAGAATATTGTGACAACTGGAAAGATCACTGGTAGAAGATGCAGACCAAGAGAAATGATGGTGGTGGGCTTAAGACAGTACCTAGGAGGAATATCATCAGAGAAACTGATCCAGAACACCAAAGACCAAGATCTGTGGAGATGCAACAACGCCTACGTCTGCTGCCAAGGCATTTGATGATGGTGATCCTGCTTTTATTTCTGAGCTAATTTTCATCCCAAATTATCCTGCTGATTTTGCAAATGTTGTGAGTTGTCAAATTTCTGATTCTTTGGTGGCCCAAAAGACATTTCAGCAAATCATAGATCAACATCAAGACTTCTTCTACCTCTTCTTAATGTTCACCAGCTATAAACTCTGGTAGAAAGTTCTGGCTGTTTGCCCACTTATGGACTAACGATTTCAGTCCCAGGTGATTTTTGAAGAATATCCTCAACTGGCAAGGAAAATATCACAACAACAAAAAATAATAATCATGCAAGCATTATTTTTAACAAGGTTAAACACACATTGGAAGCAGCAATTGTGGCAGCCAGATTTCTTTCCAATGCTTTGACCAAAACTGAAATGCTACAGATCATATTATGCAATATTTGGGATTCAAATTGATGAACACTGACACATCATGTGATTCATGGGATTAAAAAAGTTAAGTCTGCTTTCACAACTTGGAGGCACACTAGTCAGCTTCACAATGCCACAATCAAGGACCACAAAATGAATGTTGCTGCTTGAAATCCTTCATCAGCATGCGATACAAACTGAAAAATGCATCTAGACAAAACATATTTCATGCAGCCTGCAAAGCCTAATGAAGAATATTTTATGCAACAATCTATCTTTGTCAAGTGAGGTGGGGAAGATAGTTATTAAGAGCTATTTGCAGCCAACCCTAATTCACAGAACCATGGGTGGTCACCAGATTGGTTAACAATTATGTGGAAGCTGCAGAGATGTCCTTTTATAGATGAATGAGGAGAAAAGAGAATGAGAGAGAGAGAGAGAGAGAGAGAGGGGGGGTGGATGGTGGGGGGGGCTGAAAAACACTGGCGACAGAACTGCCTTGCTGAAAAACTGTTCTTTAAAAGGATTATTTGAACCTCCTGTAATTTAAAGTGCACACATTCCTTACCACAGGTTAATACTTGTGGCTTGTCGATAATTTTATTAAAATTAATGTGTCCGTATTTTTCTTACAGAAACATGCATTCAAATAAGAATGAAACCTGATGTCCTTTTTGAAAACAAGCTTATAAATGCCTAATTAGAAATCATAAGGAACAGCATACATGGCCTTTGGTGTCTAAAGTGTAAGAATGAGCCACAACAATGCAGTAATACCTGAATTTCCATTTGTACTTCAGCCTTAGAAGCAATAAATGGAGAAATATGCAAGCATTAGTTAAAACACAGACAACATGCAAAGCTACACTGAGCTAACAACAGAAGCTAAAGTTTACAGAGTGGACAACAGCTGGATGGGATCAATAAATTAACAGGCGACGAATGGCAATCCTTCTGCTGGGAACAAGATAATCGGGGGGGAGGGCGGGGGGCAGAGAACACACTTGATAACATAACAATTTTAAACCTATAATCAAAGTATTGAATAATAAAATAGCCCTTCTTAAAGAAACAACAGTTAATGAACATTCGGAGCCATGATTCTGAATCTGTTATTCTTTCTCATTTTCAGCTGTTTAGTATGCCCTGACTTTCTACATGAGAGTTAGTCAATATCTGTGAAATGGCTGTTTCATTGTGAAATTTCATAGTGCTTTTCATTTTATCTATTTGCCTGTGATATTAAATAGCTGTATGTTGCTATAAAGCAGTTCCTGTATAGTAGATTCTAATCAGTTCAATCACGAGTTAAGTAATGTAAACAGCTAAGGTCTAATGTTCATGATACAAGGAATTTTTCGTACAAGATAAAAGTTTTGAGAGTTGAAATTCTGGTACACAAGGCATAGAGTAAAATAAGAAGAGGTCCCTTTTTATGTCTCAGGCAGGTCAGGAACATGATTCCTGAAACACTTCACAGATGAAATGCCCAAATAACACAAGTCAGTCACTACTGCCCACAAAACAGAAGACAGTGGCTATTTTTTAAAAGCTCTTTTGATTCACAAACAAAGGATTTTAAAAATATAGCATTAATCTTTTTCTTCTTCCTCTAGGTGTTGATCTCTATGCCGGTGGAAAGTTCTGGTTGTGTGTCCACTTCTGAACTTTTGCATGCACAACAGTTTTACAGATCCACTTGGGTATATACAAACTACTGGTCTCTCACCTTGCAGGCAGATCCATTATGACTCGGAAGAAAATACTCTTAATTACTCACCTTTTACTGCACGCCTGGTGGGGGCAGTGGGTCTATTCCTATTCTTACTTTAACCAAAATGGGACCCTGTGACCCACACAATAAGCATTAATCTAAACATGTTAAATCAACAGATGAGATAATTAAATACATAAATATAATAAATAGCAGAATGTTTTTATCACGTTATCCTACAGTAAAAAAAACGTTTAAATCTTTCCATTGCAGATGGTTGTTGCTGTAAAATTGCATTTTCGCTTTAAAAGAGGCTATGTCGAATAGGAAGTGACATAACATCAACATAAAAACTCTCGGGACACCCCCATAAGCGCGCCATACCCATCTACAGTAGCAAGTGAAGAGTTAAAATTCCAATGGTACCAGTAACTGTCTGATTGTGTATGCACCTCGACTTTCCCCTGAATGTTGAGCGTCGGCCAGAACCCCTAGTAACTCGTCGCAGTGCCATACTTCTCAGACCGTAATGATCTTCCGAAAAGGCTACAATTATAACTGCCTGATACTGAAAGAGTTAACTAACAAAAAGCATTTAAAATAATTTCTAGGCCCTATTTCTTCATTTTAGAAGTCCATGCTATGTGGCAAATGTAATGATGTCTACCCACAGCCTTCTGTTGCACGTACTGTGAATACTTTCTGATATATATGTTTTTCCATGCCATGATTCCAAACCCAGCCCTTACCCACATCGGACTGCAGGTTACACCTGGCTGGCGTTGCCTTTATGGATGCCATAATTATAACTTCTATAGAGGCTGAATCGGCTTTCTGGGATCTACCTTCTTGGTCTGCCATCCAGATTGGTATTTTTTTCATCTCAGGATGGTATGGTAAACGTTTAGGTAGGGCGCCACAGGGAACAAACTGATTGATCGATTGATGGTCTCCTTCTGCTTGACTTCTCCAACTTTCCTTTCCTAAGACAGCTCCATAAATTCTTGGACATCTATAGTTTTCTAGACATACCTTGAGTTTTAAAAAAAAACTAAAGTATTTTATAACTGCTTTATTTTCTTGGCAATGTCTCTCAGCCTATTTTGCTTGATGCTCAGATCATTAAGGATGTGTATTTTTTCTTCTTCTCTTTCCATGATATTCTAAGAACTTTTCTGTAGAATTTCAGTTCAAAAGCTCAATGACCGAGTAAGAGTCCATGACTCTTTTCTAAAAGTTGCTGTAGGAAAGATGCATGATCTCAAAATTGTAACTTTAACTGGCTTGCTGTTGACATACCAGGTTGAAAGTGAACTGCAGGTGATTCGGCAGAAGAGTGCTTTGTGTTGATTTTGACAGTTGTGTGCACACTGACATTTTAGTAGACTAATGACCATAAAAATGTATAGTAGAAACATAAACAGCTAAGACATGCTGGGTTTAGTTTGCAATCACAATACCTGTACAAAATATGCAATTAACTTCAACTTTAATGCCCAAATGGGTAAAATCTACCACCACATAAAAAAAATAGCTTGAAAGAAAGGAATTCGCAAGCCAAAACCATAGAGCAAAGAAATGAAATGAAAGGGCATATTCTATAAATTGAGAGAAACAAAAAGACCCACCTTTTCCCCACCTCCTTCCCCCAAAAGAAGCAACACAAATTGGTAAGCATTACAACAAATTTACCATTCTGAAACTGCCTTATAATGATTTAACATCATATTTTGACATTATTTTTATTTCCATCTGTTGCTTTTACACAGGGAACACTGTATATGAGATGCTTTGGGTTTTTTATTTTATTTATTATTGTTAAATTATACTTATTTTCCTCAGATCTGAAATAAATTCCTCATACCTTTCTAAATATCTCTTTCTTTGTTTAAAGTTACCTCCACAAGTCTACTACTATCATACCGCTTGCGTTGTTAAAAAGTGAAGAAAACTCAAAACCCTAGATACAAGTTGTAGAATAAAAAAGGCCAAATGTTTAACAAACCAAAAAAAAGCAACAAGAAAAGGAGGGAAAAAAACAGATAATGAGTCATAGGAAATATTTGATAACTGCATACAGATGAAATCAATATGTCATACATAACCACATGTTTGTGCTCCTAAATAATTAAACTGGACCACTAAAAGTTTTCAAATAAATTACACTTTTACAAATTAAAAAAATAATTACAAAAACACATGCACGCACGTGTGGGCAGGCACACGCACGCATACACACGCTTCATTACACAATCTGCTTTTATCGTTCATGCTAATTAATGTAAATTTGTTTTCTTTTAAATTATCTTCATTACAATTGTCCATCATTAATGAACATTAGTTGGCACATTCTTCTCTTTTCAAAACAGTAGTGGCGAAGTGGTCGAGCCATTTGCCTTATGCTTTGAAGGTCATTCACAGACACACTGTTCACTTTCACCAGTGCAGTTTTATCACTAGAGCTGCAGAGTTCATGTTTTGTGTGACACTCTCGCAGTTGACCAGCCATTCTATAGAGATAGACTGAGCTATATGGGATAACCAAGTGCAATGAAGATGATTATTTTGACTTTTAACTCTTAACTTTCAATGATAGCATTACATTGCTAGATGATAGTATTACATTGCTAGATGATAGTATTACATTGCTAGATGATAGTATTACATTGCTAGATGATAGTATTACATTGCTAGATGATAGTATTACATTGCTAGATGATAGTATTACATTGCTAGATGATAGTATTACATTGCTAGATGATAGTATTACATTGCTAGATGATAGTATTACATTGCTAGATGATAGTATTACATTGCTAGATGATAGTATTACATTGCTAGATGATAGTATTACATTGCTAGATGATATAATTACATTGCTAGATGATAGTATTACATTGCTAGATGATATAATTACATTGCTAGATGATAGTATTACATTGCTAGATGATAGTATTACATTGCTAGATGATAGTATTACATTGCTAGATGATAGTATTACATTGCTAGATGATAGTATTACATTGCTAGATTATAGTATTACATTGCTAGATGATAGTATTACATTGCTAGATGATAGTATTACATTGCTAGATGATAGTATTACATTGCTAGATGATAGTATTACATTGCTAGATGATAGTATTACATTGCTAGATGATAGTATTACATTGCTAGATGATAGTATTACATTGCTAGATGATAGTATTACATTGCTAGATGATAGTATTACATTGCTAGATGATAGTATTACATTGCTAGATGATAGTATTACATAGGGATGTCTAGATTACTTCTTCTTCTTAGTGTTCACTAGTAAACTCTGGTGAAAATTTATTATCGTGTGTCCAATTCTGAAGTTTTGTATCTGTTTTACAGATCTGGCTTATTTGTACGCAGACTGTTCGTTCCTAACCCTTCGGGCACTTGCACTCTGACTTCAAAGGAAACACCCTAATCAGTCCCCTTGTTGGGAGGCAGAAGAAACATGGGTTTTTTCTAATTTCCCCAAAATGGGACACCAAAACCCACAATGAGAGTCTAGATTACAATCAATGAAATCGGGATTCCAAATTCTAACCCACGATAAGGCAAGGTAAACAAAAACAAAAATTTTTAAAATGTGATGATTAATGGGGAAAGTGCAGCCTTTACTTCCCCAGTCCTTCTCAGCCAGTAATAGTACATGGTGCTACAACAACTGCCTTAAGGATATCCAAAGACTAATTTTTCCAGCTGTATGCAAGAAGTTATAACATATAACAAGTATACATTTGTCAACTTCCACATTATTAATTTCAAGCAAACCATATAAAAGACTCCCGAGCCATAATTTAAAGAAAAAAAATGCATTCGAAAATGAACGTAACTTAAACCACAGCAACAGTAGATAAAAATCCCTCAAAAACCATGCAACAAGCTTTCAGAGATACCGTTCAGTTATATGAAAATAATACCAGAAATGCAGTCTCTTGTATAAAAAAAAATTTTAATTATAGTTGAAAAATATCGGCAGAGATTGCCAGAGATCAAATAAAATGTGATCCCACTGCAAGCAAACAATACCTTATATAACCGAACGATTCTTTCCTGGGGACATACAAGGTAGAATTTAACCACTAGAGAATCAACTCGCACAAGCACTCAACTTATACAATGCAAAAATTTAATGAAACAACGATTAAACTGTAGTATTATATGCAGGACACCTCAATAGTTCATGACAGATACAATAAAAAAAGTGTAAAACACTACTATAGTTTTAATTTCATATTTTATAGCACACTTTTATAGTTTTTATATAAAATGTTAAAATACTACAGGATGAGTCAGAAATAAAGTTTCATGGTTTTCAAACAAAATACAGTAAGTTGTTATTTTGCGTTATACACGGAAGAAGTATGTTTATGCTCAGAAACTGCGAGACAAATCATGCTGAAAACTTCTGAAAAAGTAACTGCTGCATGCTGACTGCCTTTTTTTTTTTTTGGGTAAGCTCAAAAAGCCACTTTCCAGATGTAAACTGAACAGAAGTAAATCTCAGAAACCCCATTCAATTATATAAAACAGAGTGGGACACTCTGCGGTTGCAAAGTTACCTTCTGTAATATGGGTGGAGAACCCATGTTTTAAAGTATTAACAACAATATCCCATCTTTATCAGCATAACTTCTAACACAATGCTTACACATGTTAAAAATCTACACTGCTTTGAGACACTTGTAGAACTGACTTCAGGTTCTGCAGATTAAATCTGATAATACACATTCTGCACCTTGTTACATATTAAAAATTAATAAACACACAATACTGACAAATATGGAGAACTTTTCCAATTCAGCCATTATGAATGCCCTAATTATAACTCCATTGGCGGGTAAACAGGATATCTGGGACTAGGCCTGTTGATTTACCATCCAGGATGAAACTTCTGAAGTCATTATGGTGTTCAAACTTTCAGGTATCAGCCCAGAAGAAATCAAAGACAGGCGAATGGATAGATTATAGAAATACTGATGTATACCAAATATAAACAGCAATTTTATAATTTTATATTAGCGCACACACACCCACACACACACAAATAACAGGAAATAGTTAAACCAAAAGTTCTGAATGTGAAAAATGGGCAAATATCAACAAAATCACATTAAATTTCTCAGAGCGCAATATGACTTTTTAAACATCCACACCAAACATTAGTGAGTGAAGCAAAAGAATACAAGAGTCATAAATAATTATTAGTTATGCATTAAACGTAGTCGTTAATGATTAACTGATTAGAACATTGGTTCCAATTTGCAGAGACACACTAAAGACCCAATATTTTTTAAATAGGCATACTGAAGATAACTTATTATATATATATATATATATATATATATATTTTTTTTTAAAGAACAGCAAAAAGGTTTGCATTCCAAAACTAAGTGGGTTTTTTTATTTAATACTAATAAACAGTAATCAGAGAAAGTTAAGACATTAACAGTTAATGAATGATTATTATAAAAACCTTGTTGGCATCCATATCTTCTGATGATAATGTTCCTGATTCCTCTCGCAGAGCATAAGACTGGATGATTCTGAAGAAGAAAAACAGCAGTGGAAATAATGTTAGATGCTTATCCTCCATGGGTCATTGCAAATCAAAACAATTATTTGTAGCTGTTGGTGCTTTTTTTTTTTTTGCTAGGCTATTTTGCGTTCAGTAGTTTTCCACTGCTTTCTAAACAGTTGATTTTCCTCATATGCAACAGGAGGTCCCATTTGGGGGGGGGGGGGGATAGGGGGAATAGACCCACCGCCTTCTAACAAGCATGTGGCAAAAGTGACTAACTAGAGGTGTTTCCTTTGAAGCCAGAGTGCATTTGCTTAAGAGGCAAGGAAGCAACAGTCTGCACACAAATAAAAGACTTGTAAAACAGTTGTGCATGCGAACAAACCAGAAATGTTAAACAGATGTGCTCGTAAAACTTAAGTTCTGAAACAAGGCCAAAGTCCATGAGTTGACCAACAACCAGGACTTTGCGCCAGAGTTTACAGCCGGTGAATGCCAAGAAGACAAAGAGTGGCTGAATCTCTTAAGTCAAAATTAAAATCAGTGCAAAGAGGACTGCTACTAAATTGCCTGCAGCTGAATCAAACAGGGTATTTCAGAATTAAAAGCCACCTTCATAATCCTAAAGCCACAGACACTGATATGTAAAAAAAATATCAAGTTAAAAACTGTGTAGACAAAAGTATTTACTTTTAACTTGTATTATATATTCTGAGTCAGGAAAAATAAATTATTGCTTATGCCTGCATTGGTGGTAAATGAACTACCCTAGAATAGAACATGAATAGTAGAGAAATTATGATAGAAGACATGAGGTTAAATAAAATAACGTGTAAGAATGATTACTGCCATCATTGGCAAACTGTGATTCTAGTGACAACTGCTAGCGCTGGCACCTCTGGCAGCTACTTTATTTATACATTTTAGTGCAATTTTCTGGATTTTTAAACTGGACAGTGAAGAGTATTGTGTGTGCTTTTCAATGGCACAGGACCAAAGCATTTAAGGTAATGATCTGTTTTAAGTTGAAACTTTGAATACTAACTATTCCTGATTTACTTTATCTGGTGCTAAATGTAACAGCTTCACCCACTGCCACATCACAGAATCATGCCACGTCAAGTTTTCCAGTCTGAGGAGAATGAAGTCGAAGGGACACATCTTTTTCTTAGAGTTCCTGCTGTGAGGTGTTGGTAGTCATGCCTATCCATAAGCTTCTGTCTCGTATGCTATTAATTCTGACACAGATGATCTTCCCTGCCATGATGTCATACGGTCCAGCATCCTCTCTCTGGGTCTCCCTCTGCTTCTTTTCCCCTCCAACTTTCCCACCACGACATAGTCTAGTTTTTTTTTCTCTTTCTTATGACTTGACCAAAAGAATGTATATTTCTCCTTATGACGTGGGCAATCAGTTCTCTTCATGAGTCAGTTTTTAGAGACACATCACTCCAAGATAAATCTAGCTTCTGATTAAAATTAGTTTAACCCTGTCTTCCATATTTATATATAATTTAAGTGTAATAAGTTTTATACTGTTAGTATTTTAAAAATTAACAAGTGAAGGACATTTTTCATGCCACGGTCAGATCAGGTATATAGTGCCAGACCCATAGTTTTAGAAACCAACTGGCTCTCGATGGATGATGTGATGAAAATCATGCTGATCACCTTTACTCCCCAGGATATTTTCTCAGTACCCAATTTTGGACTGGGCTGAGCAGTGTTTTCAAATATTCTGATTTGTGTCAGTGGCAATGGCCTACTCTATGATTCCTTTACAATCTAATGCAGTAGTTCTCAATCTGTGGGTGGTGACCATCAAAATATATTCACTGAAGTTATGCAGTAGCAACAAAGATAATTTATGGTTGGGGGTCACCACAATATTAGAAACTCTATTAAAGGGTCGCGGCATTAGGAAGGTTGAAAACCATTGATCTGTGTTGTCGGCAACTTCAGTCAAACTTCACAGAGTTAATGGCAAAGAAGAACCAATTCAACATATCTTCAATGAGAGACACAACTTTCCATGTGAGTTCTGAGGCAACATTTTATGGGGAAGAAAGAACAGATCCACTGTTTCTCAAAAAAGAATGTCCTAAAAGTGACTATTTAAGGATCTGCTGACATCAGATGGGCGGAAAACTCCACATATCACAGCCTAGCTATAAACCATAACACGATAACTGCCCTTTTAAGGACAAACACACCAGCAGCAGCCGTCAAAGTAGAAGAAGAAGAAGCAGAAAAAGAAAAAGAAAAAGAAGAGGAGGAGATGGAGGAGGAGAAGGAGAAAAAGAAGAACAGCAGGAGGAGAAGAAGAACAGGAGGAGAGCAGGAAGAAGAAGGAGGAGGAAGAGGAGAAGAAGAAAAACAAGAACAATTTTACAAACTTGTTTTTCTTTCTGATCTCCTCCAACAACTGTTGTATATGCTCGCTCAGGAACTCCAGTTTCTCACTCTTGCGGGCATGTGACTTCTGCAGGCGAACGATTCTCTCAATCAAAATTTGCCTGTCAAATTCCACTTGCTCTGTTATTACTGGAAACTCCTGGTAATTATTGTTTAAATTCAGTCAGTTAATGTACACATGTGAATTCACTAAACAGCATTTTCTCAATCTTCAGGTAAGCTAAGTGTATGGTGTTAGACTCACATTTTATATAAATAATATCGCGTCCCAGTGTCTGGCGCGATTTTCTGTTGTTTTAAAACCCCACCCTGGCCGTTGCAGGGGGCCCGAATATAACTCAGGCTCCCAGCAGTTGTCAGCATGCGACAGCAACCCCCCCCCCCCCACCCCCACCCTGGGCAACAGCTTTGACAGGCTGGCAAGACCAGGAGAGGGTAGCCGACCTGGTTCTAAACCACTCTGTGAATGGGATATGCCAACCCTGCATGCAAAGACTGGACTCTGCGGATTGTGCGGATGAAACCTCTTATTGGTTCAACAGACAAGAAGGTGTTTACCAGCAGGCTCTGTGGAGAGCTTCGAGCAAGGCAGGGCACTTAACTCTTTGAGTCCAAAGGAACGCGTCATACGTTCATAGATTCCTACCTAGAAGCCCAATAAACGCAAGATGCGCCGATTTTACGTCTTTCTTGACTACCCATTGGGCCTGTGATGCTAAACCCCCTGGGACTCAAAGAGTTAAGATGCCTTGGTCATCCACTGCACCTAGGTCCATTTCCAATCGTCTTGACATTGTCCTGCCATTGGATCAAGATGGACACAGGCGAGAAGTGAGGGTCGCCGAATCGAGCAACTCTTCCTCACTTAAATCCAAGTCCCTGAGCAAGTCACTTTCATCAAGCTATCATCATCAGAATCCCACACCTACTGTAGCTTCCATCTGTTGTCCCCACTGCTCAAGAACTTTCCTGGCTCATATTGGACTAATCAGCCACCTTCGTACTCATAATCACTGATCATTACTACTTCGGATGAAAGTGGTCTACATCACTCGTGATGGATGAACGAACGAATATAACTCAATCTATGTGTTGAATGGGGTTTCTGGCACCTGTCCCTTGGTGATTTTCAACAGAATGGTGGCACTTTCTTCTTTTTCTTCTTCTTCTTTCATTCGCTTGAAACAGATTATCTATATGTGCAATGTTGTCCTGTAAGGAGAAGACAAAGAAGTACTCAGTAGGGTACTGGAAGATGAGACCAATCTGTATATCAGAGCTGGCATTTGTAGATGATGTGGCCCTGATAGCTAAATCAGAAGCACACCTTCAGTCCAACTTACTTGTCTGGAAGGAAGAGCTTGAAAAGAGAGGGATGACCATCAGTATCTCCAAAACTAAAACCATGCTGATCTCAAGAGAGAAGAAGAAACACCAGATCATGATGGGACAGTATGCATTGGAGCAGGTTAACCAGTTCAAATACCTTGGAGTTGTATTTGACCGAAATGGAGGCATTAAGACTGAGCTGGCTACACGAAAAGCAGCTGCTGGGAGACTCTTCCAGGCCATAAACCGAGGGTTTCTTAGCAAAAGAGAAATTGGCAAGAGGACGAAAATGGCTGTTTACCGCTCTACCTATGTACCAGTCCTGACCTATGGGTGTGAGTCATGGGCAATGACAACAGCTCACAGAAGCCAGCTGCAGGCCTCGGAAATGAGATATCTGAGAAAGGTGGTCCAAGTGACAAGAAGGGACAATGTCCGCAATCAGACAATACGTCAAGATCTTGATACCCAGTCCTTACAAACCCGAGTGGATCAGTCACAGTTACGATGGTTGGACATGTATGCAGAATGGGAGAAAATCGGCCACCATGCTAGGCATGGAAGGCTAAGAGCCAGGGAACCAGACCTCCAGGACGACCCAGGGTGCGCTGGGAAGACAACATCCGACAGTCCCTAACTGACAGAGGACTGGAATGGAACAAAGCCAGAAAGAAAACTGCTGATAGAGACGTCTGGCGATCTCTCTGGCAAACTTCTACACCCCAAGGTAGAAGAGGAGCGGCTAAGTAAGTAAGTAAGCAATGTTGTCTCAAGTATGAACTTCACTGTTTTTTGTAATTCACTCAGGTACCCGTAAAGTTTGACTTGCACCGATGTTTCCCTTGGCCTAAAGTTTTGCCTTGTATGTTGTATTTGGGACAGTCTTGGAAGATATGATCTGTTGTCTCAGGTGCCAATCCACATGTCTGATTTGCCAATTTTAAATTTTGTGTACATGTGGCTACGAAGTCGATTGTGTCCTGTTCTAAGGCACTTTGTGTTACCAGGTGTTTAGTACTCCGTGTGATGTCCTGGTGGGGTTGAACATCAATCAATCATATTTTATATAAACCGAGTGACACCATGGCTGATGTGGTCAATATCACTCTGGATCCATCTAATCTTCAGAACACAAATTTTTTTTTGGGCTGAACTGACCGACCTGTGAGCTCAGGTCAGTGTTCTTCTTCATCATCATCATTTGTCCAACTGACAAATAACTTCTGGTTAAAAAGGACGCTAGGCAGCGAACACTGTTCGAAGCAGAGGCAAATTTTTTGCTTCTGCCGGACGGTGGCCGATGCATTTTTGCTCCATTTGTAGACTGGATATAGTTTCGTCACCCAGCTTCTGAGTTGAATGCATGGCGTGACACTGTGCGCTGCGGATTGCATTTGGAATGTTTTTTCGACTGTGGGGGTGTGAATTGTAGATTCAGAAAATGGCACAATGCCTGTCGTGCAATGTTGGCGGTGCCCGTATGTGATTAAAATTTATCACGTGGGCAACTGCTAATCTGTTGGTGACAAGTTCTGCTATCATCAATGATGAACTGCATTTCTAATGTTGGACTGTTTGTGTTAGCACTTCGGATGGCTACTGTATGCTTTAATGCGAGTGTATGCTAGATATGCTGAGAGAGCAGTCTGTCAATCTTTCCACAAGGGACTGTGATAAACATTGTGTGTGTTTTTCGTTGGCACAGGAGCGGAGCAAAGATAGGGTGATCCGTTTGCTATGAAGCTGAAACTAAGACTACCAGACTACCAAGTGATGTAAATGTGTTGTGCCTGTTTACAGCACAGCTGTAATATTTGAATTTTTTTACCAACACAATTGACTTCTTAGAGTTCCCAGGGTCAATGTTTTTAAAATCCCAATTTTCCAATACATGGCCAGCAAGCCGGTAGGAAAGCATGTTGGCCACTGTGCTACCATGGCCCCTCTATGATCATCATTATGTAACACATCCTTAGCAGAAATGCAGTCTCTCACCAGCTCTCCCATCTTGTGTACTTTCCTACCCGAGGTGTTACTTATATTCTATGCCCATCTTTGAGCTGGTCGGCCTCTGTCTCTCTTTTCTGGTACCATCTCTTCTGCTATTATGCTTTCCAATCTTCCGTGGCACTTGATATAGCCAAAATATTTCAGCTTCTGAGACAAGATGCTGTTTGCTAGGCAATCTTCATTATCTCTTTCAGTCCCAGATGGCTTCAGTCCCAGATGGCCTAAGCTAATGTCCGAGAGAGATGAGGAAGACATCTCTAAACTCATGTGTATACTAACTAATTCCACAGTGGCCAAATGCACAATCCTCATAAGAGATAAATATATTATCTAGGTTTTTTTTTAAAACATGAGATGTTAAAGGATATATAACATACTGATTGGTAGAATGCTAAACTTTGAATTAAGAATCAACATCATAGCACTCAGAACACTCCCATAAGCGCTCCTTGCCTATCTCCAGCAGCAAGCGGAAAGTTCCAATTCCGATGGTACCAGTAACTGTCTGATTGTACATCCATCTCGCCTTCACCTTGAGTGCTAAGCAACATCTAGCTTGTCATACATCAATTCACCACCATGTGGTGCAGAACCAGCCAGTCTATCTGTCTACTAATTTCTGAACACACCAGCATTACCTAGAGAAAATATCCAAACGACGCTTACTACACGGGACCTCTGAACTATGCTTGCCACTCTGCACAGAGCATGCCTGTCTCCACCTTTCTCAACATACTCTGTGAGTCTGTTACAATCATGGCATGTGTGTACAGCTGATTCTCAAGCCAGCGGAAGGCAGCAGTCACCGATTTCACCCTCAAACTAGCCGTTATGATTTCATATACCAGGATTTAATGCATTAAATTATGTCCATTAGTTTTTGCTATGCACTTCATTTGCCCCTCAACCCAGAGCCATCTGTATAGATAATCACATCACCTGGGTGGGAATTGTCATGAATCATAGTGAGGCCCGCTAGTCTGTTGTCACACTGTGTCTTACACATTGTAACAAGCATAGTTGGTTGTCACTCTGTGTCTTTCACATTGTAACAAGTAATCTAAAGCAAACAAAATCAATCTAGTAATTGATTGGTAAACACACACACACACACACACACACACACACACACAAACACACACTATCCAGTCACAAACAGTGCATTGCTTAGTAAAAGTAAAAATGGCCAGCCGGATGATGACCACATTATCCACCAACTGCTGACCGGCCCACCAAAATATAACTCATGCCTCAGATGTCTAAGCACCACTGGTGTAAAACCTGTCCTGTATTTAATAAATTTTTTTAAATGAGGAGTATCATTTAATTAAAAACACAATTAATTGCAATATAATACCAAATGGACAGTAAACACTATTATAAGTATTAATGTAACATAAAATGCATGACAATCTTTAACACATGCTAAAGAGGGCAAAGCAAATATCTGTTTGCATTGAATGTAATGAATATGGATGTATAGACAGTGAACAAAACAGATTTTATCTGAATGGGGAATGAGACTTAAATATCTAATTATTTACAAGTGCAACATGGAAAATAGTTGGAGAAAAAAGATATGGCAGAAACAAAAATGGTGGAAAATAATTTATTTGAAATAGATTTGTTTAAAAGCCACCAAAAAATAATTAAGAAATTAATACACTAGGTAATATTGAAAGAAACATAATCAAATGGAAAATGGGGTATGCAGGAGGACAAAACAAAGCAAACTAAACTCAGCAATGGCTGGAGTCTTTAGCTAGTTCATTATTTGCTATGAATTCAATCATACCAACACATTTCATTGGTAGATAAATAAATTCAGTTACAAAATTAAAACACACAGTTCATTATTTTATAAATGACTGCAGCAACAAAATGATCTATACTTCTTTATACCATACTATTAAAATTACAAGGAATTCACAGCTAATGAAAGAAACATAATTTTATCATACATTTTTCATAAAATCTTTCTAACATAATATATGCAATTGGAACAATTACATAGAATTATACCTTAGGGTTCTACCAATCAATCGACAGTTATTTTGCATCTGGGTCATTGATAATTTTTAGGTGTACAGGCATTTCTGACAACTAATTAAAAATGTACCATAGGATAACTATGCATTTCTTTTTTCCTATTTTTTGTTTTTTAAACAGTATATTTATTAATTCAACGGCATGAAGAATCTAAAAGCTAACCTGAACTTGTGACTGATGAAGTGTGCCCAGCTGCTGTGTGGAGTTTTCTATAGAATTCAAGCTGCCATTTGAGTTAGTCCTGGAGCCCATACTGCCAACATCCCCCTTTCCTTCCAAAGTATCTATTCTTTTCCTCAACTGCTGCAGCTGACGGGTCAGATCCTATTGCCAGAATGAAATAAAAAAAACACTAAGAACATGTGAATAAGCTTCTTTCATCTTTAATTTCTATGAGGTTACACCAAAACAGTCTATTGAACACACACAAAAGGTAAAGTAAGGAGATGTGAACCAGCGTCACTGCACACGGTTATAAACCATAAGTGATCTGCCACCAGTACTGAGAGCTGATAAGAAACTGTCCGCCTGTGTCGCCATTCGCACGCAACTCCGTAGCTACAAGGATGTTCCTACATTTACCCCAGAGTGTTAGCTCTGGTATCCATTACCTAGAGGCTGGGTGAACCCCGAGAACCATCTGGTTTTGACACCGGCCGTGCGCTGCAAAGAGTCACAGTTGGATTTGAAAGCTAGTTTCCTATCGACTGCATTAATGCGGCCCCCCCAACACACACACACTCTCTTTCTCTCTCTCTCTCTCTCTCTCTCTCTCTCTCTCTCTCTCTCTCTCTCTCACAGACACACACACACACACACACACACACACACACATGCATGCACACACACGCACACTCTCTGCATTAACTTACACACTGTAACAGTCTACTAAATTTTCACAACTGACAATCAGTAAACTAACCTGTGCACCATAGCAGTCTATCAAACTTTTATAAGACACACTCACTGCACTAGCTTCTAAACAATAACAGTCTATTAAACTTCACAACACACCATGACACTCTACTGAACTATCACAACTCACAATCACTGCACTAACTTTTACATCATAACATTCTATCATCACACTGATGAATACCTTGACATTGTTTGCATGTCGTCGTTTCAGAGTCTTGCTGTTATCAATTTCATCTTCCCACTTCTGCTTGAAGTCATTACCTTCAAAAAGATAAGCAAAACTCAGTTCCCCATGGCTAATTGCCTCCATTAATTTTTACCAATCTACTACCTTGGTTTCAAAGGAGTGTAAGGCAGGTATTTAGTTTATCTATATTTAATGACTGGCTCGCTAGCGTAGTTGGCTAAACCTGACTTCGTGACGACCGGGTGGCAAACTCCTTGTGGTCCGGGTTCACGCCCGGGGGTAGGCAGAAAAGCCACATTTCTCACAGATTTACAGTATTTATCACGGAATCAAGGCCGAAGGGTTGCGATATCCATAGTACCGAGCCAAAGGATTGAGAACTCATGGTTTCTAGACATTAAAAAAATATATACCACCAGTAAACCCCAGCAGAAAGTTCCGGTTGGTAGTCCACTTTCACGTTTTGGTGTTTCAGATGCAGACTGCTGGTTCCTAACCCCTCAGGCAGATGCACTCAAACATTAAAAGAAACATCCCTAAGTTCTCTTCTACAACAATTTACAATTTGAAAATTCCCTGTGGTGATTTCAGGGACTATTCTGGGGAAAAGATGAGACACACTACCCACTCTAACAAGCTTGTCGTAAAAGGTGACTAACTAGGAAATTTCTCCTTTAAAGTCAGAGTGCTTCTGCTGTGAAGTGAGAAACCAACAGTCTACACATAAGTAAACCAGATCTCTGAACAGACGTGCATGTCAAACTCAAGATCTGGAACAAGACTAAAGTCCAGAAGTTGATGAAAAACTAGAACTTTCTGCAGGAGTTTACAGTGGTGAAAGTGAAGAAAAAATTTACAGAGGTGAAAGTGAAGAAAAAAAAGGATCTAAAAAAGGAATATATTCTAAGTTATTGTTAAAACTGAAAATTTTACTGCATGCATGAAATAATAAACATAAAATTTCTATTTAACTGAACGTCTTGGGCTAAAATCATACCAGGCAAATTTCGAGAACAACTGACCTTGATTTTCAGGTTACCTTATAGCATGGACACACAAGTGGATCACAGGGTTTGAAAAGAATAGTGCGAAAGGAAGTGATCATGGGCCCTATCCGACACTTAAAACTTGGAGGAAAGACAAGGTAAGCTTTTAATCGGACTGCTGCTGTTCTATTTCTCAACATTCTCCTTTTAATGTATGTTGTGGAATATGTGCCCTTTTATTAAATATTCAGAAAAAAAAAAGACATGGGTAACCAAATAATATATACCACAGTGTTGTTGTTTTTTTGTTAGTTGCAGTAAAGATGAACAAAAAGAATCATGCATGCTTACATTCCTTTATTTTCTCTGCCAAACTGGACTCCAAATGTTTGGCTTCTTCTATTCTTTTAGCCTTTTCCTCTTGATATTTGTCCTCCTAGAATATTATTGAAAATATTAATTGTTGTGAATTTTTATTTAAAAGCACTATTACCAAAGGTATAGATAAGGATGCAATAACAAATACTACACATAATTATAATCAATCAATCAATCAATCAATCAATCAATTAATCAATCAATCTCTCTCTCTCCCTCCCTCCCTCTCTCTCTCTCTCTCTCTCTCTCTCTCTCTCTCTCCCTACTTCATTCACTCTCTTCTCTCTTTCACTCAAGAACAAACAAATGAACAAACGCACACATGCATGCACACACTAATTTACATCTATCTGAATTTTCTATCAGCTACACTGGTAGAGCGTAACAGATTAGCCACACTGATTGCGTCTCCCTAGCCACACTGATCGCGTCTCCCTAGTCACACTGATTGCGTCTCCCTAGCCACACTGATTGCGTCTCCCTAGCCACACTGATTGCATCTCCCTGGCCACACTGACTGCGTCTCCCTAGCCACACTAATTGCGTCTCCCTAGCCACACTGATTGCGTCTCCCTAGCCACACTGATTGCGTCTCCCTAGCCACACTGATTGCGTCTCCCTAGCCACACTGATTGCGTCTCCCTAGCCACACTGATTGCGTCTACCTAGCCACACTGATTGCGTCTCCCTAGCCACACTGATTGCGTCTCCCTAGCCACACTGATTGCGTCTCCCTAGCCACACTGATTGCGTCTCCCTAGCCACACTGATTGCGTCTCCCTAGCCACACTGATTGCGTCTCCCTAGCCACACTGATTGCGTCTCCCTAGCCACACTGATTGCGTCTCCCTAGCCACACTGATTGCGTCTCCCTAGCCTCACTGATTGCGTCTCCCTAGCCACACTGATTGCGTCTCCCTAGCCACACTGATTGCGTCTCCCTAGCCACACTGATTGCGTCTCCCTAGCCACACTGATTGCGTCTCCCTAGCCACACTGATTGCGTCTCCCTAGCCACACTGATTGTGTCTCCCTAGCCACACTGATTGTGTCTCCCTAGTCACACTAATTGCGTCTCCCTAGCCACACTGATTGCATCTCCCTAGCCACACAGATTGTGTCTCCCTAGCCACACATGACAGCAGAAAGGGACTTTTTGGCCTGTGAGAATTTTTTTTTTTTTTAATGAATGGATCTTTTTCAAAATTTCATGAAAAGAAAAAGTATCTTTACAGCTCTCTCTAAGAAACTGGAGGAAGAAAAGAAGCAGAAGAAATTTGGAGTCTGGGTCAGTTTATTAATCCAGTGGATTGAAAGCTATGACCACTGAGACAAGCCTGCTAGCTACTGCATCATCACAGCCTAAAGTGACTACAAAATTAAAATAAAATATATTGGATAATTCCATAACCCAAAGAAACAATGTGCTTTCTTAGTAAGGGATGTAATCACTAAATATAAAGGAAGCAAATAATTAACTGCTTTCACTCCCTTTGACCATGAGATTTGGGATTTTGTTGACATTGTCTCGGGGAGCAAATTTACATCATAAGTGTTTCATGAAATTGCAAGGACAAAAAGAAAAACTGGTGTCAAATAATATCTTTACAAAAACTGTGTTGTAAATACTCAAACCCACCCGTCTGCACACTATGCAGTTACAACCAGTGTTTTTTTAAAAACTGTTATTCAGACATAGTGGCTGCTGTCAAAAAAAAATTTTTAATGCCAGGCTAAAAAAAAACACACAAAAAACCAAGGTTTTTTCCCCCCTACATTTATAATTTTAAGAGAGATAGACTAAAATTCCTGTTTCATAGATACACTAGGAAGGGTTGAAAGTGGCTGGTGTGAAACCATGCTCTCCGTATTATGACAGGGGCAATGTGCTCCACGCCCATATCAGATATGGAAACAATTACTGGTCTCCATAATCTGGAAGATAGGAGAGACACAAAGCTCCTCACCCAGCTCTCCAAATACCACCACTTTCAAGAACAACCCATGTACAGCCGACTGCAGAAACCCCAGAAGGCTAGACTAAAGAGAACCTGTTTTATTAAGAACGCAAATGCCAAGCTCCTTGTCCATAAACTCCCTCCCATAATACCAAATGTTCCACTTAAACCTTACAACGACTGCCCTGCTTGGCTTAGGGATAGCCTACCAACAGTCAGAACCACTGTAACAGGGGTCTCCTCCAAATCATCAATGAGCAGCACTGATATGAAATCAACTACAGAAGGAGAGATCAATAGACTTTACCCACACCAGAGTTGGATTTGAGTGTATACAGATGGTTCAGCCAAGAGAGCAGTGAGAGACGGAGGAGGAGGAATATACATAGAATGCCCAAATGGTGTAAAAATCAACCAGGCCGTACCAACAGGTTCATATTCCTCCAATTACAGAGCAGAGGCAGAAGCACTTCTAGCGGCATTTTCTTTCCTGATTAAACAACAGCACAGCAAATATAGCAGAGTGGTCTTTCTGACTAATGCTATGTCAGTTCTACAAGCAATTGTTAACCCAAAAGACACTCAGTTTGTAGACTTGACGCAACAGCTGATTTACTTAGGCTCTTCAGTAGAACAATCCAGGTCACTGTGGCTTGGAAGGCAATGAAATAGCGGACAGATTGGCCAGAAGCGGCAGTGACATGGTACAACCAAATAGCGACTTAACCCACCAAGAGATGAAAACACTAATACAATCTAGTATCCAAGAAAGGTGGCTGGATACCCACACCGGATTTTCTCCCCAAGACTCACTTCATTGCCTCTCTAGAGAGGGACAGTGCATTATATTCAGACTAAGGACATGGCACAACAGATTTCGTCAACATATGTTCAAATTTTTCGGTGTTGGAAATACGGAGACGTGTCCCTGCAGCGTGGCACCCGAAAATGCTGAGCATGTGCTCCAACACTGTCAACTGTATGCTGACAACAGAGACGCAATCTGGCCTGTTCCAACCACACTGAAGACAAAACAGTATGGTACACAAGAGGATATGGATTGCACGATAGCTTTCATAAAGGCTACCGGCCTCCTGATATAAGTTTTCTGACAGAAGGATCGAAGAAGAAGAAGAAGAAGAAGACAATAAAAACTTCCAAATGCTGTTTTTTTAATAAATATATTAACATCCTGACTTCAGAATCGCTGCTCAGGGGCAAGGACATCCAATGGCATTAACTAGGCATCTCATAAACACATAAAAATTCCGATTAGGCTGCATTTACAGGAAATCTGAGCCTAAGTGCCAGGTTTGCTACTTCCTGAGGCGAATGGGTTAAATGTAATTTATTCTGCACAAAAAACCTTTTGATGATGTATTAGTTGAAATAGTTAGTAGTTGGTGTGTCCTAAAAACTAGGGAATCATCCTCAGGTTTGTTTTATCAATAATTTTTTTTTTTTTGGTGTGCATCACAATTTACAATTTAGTCAAAACATGCAAAAATAACTGATGAGTCCATATTCTTCTTCTCCTTCGCTTTTATCAGCTGTAATCTCCAGCAGAAAGTTTTGACAGATTTCCACTTTTGAACTTTGGTTTTGCTTGAAACTTGAGTTCTGCATGCACATCTGTTTTACAAATGTTGCCTATTTACATGCAGACAGTCGGTTACTCATCTTTCAGCAGATGCACTTCGATTTTGAAGGATACACCCCTAAAAAAAATGTGTGTTAGGGAATGAATAAATTAATTAATTAATCAAGAACTAATATCATTGCACTTGGGACATTCCCACATGTGCTTTGTCCTTTCCTTCAGTAGTCAATGAAGAGTTAGGGAGCAGTGGGTCGATTCTTTTTTCCCCAAAATGGGGAAGTAAACATCATTATCTGCTACTATTATACAACGACACAACAGCTGAATCAGAGGTATACATGTTTTTTTAGACAGGCCATTTATCTTCAGACACAACCCATAATATTCTTCTGGTCTTTGCCAAAGTAAATTTGTATTCTTCTAGTATAAATAGCACTTAGTACATGTCAAACAGTTACTGTTAACAAGTCACAAAATATTTTTTCACAAATCTTATTGGGTAAGTTCAGTTTTAAATTAATCATACATAGTTCTGTAGCTGAACTGCTTACCAAATGATTCACTGTGGTTTCTAGTTCTTGAATTTCCATTTTTAGTTGTTCAACTTCACCAGTCAGCATTGAGGCCTGTCATAAATATGATTTTAATGAACTGTATCACAACAAACAACATCCCATATAAAAATAGCATTATTTAAAGTAAAATAAAGGAACTTTTTCCATGCCTTTATGTGTGTTGGGTATACAGGACTAGACCTATCAGCACGTATTACAGACCAAACTGCATTTGGTGAATGATGTGGTCAACATCATGCCAGCTGCCTTCACTTCCTAGGACTTTACTTGGTACCCATTTACAGCTGGCAGTTTTTCTGAAAAAAGTATGGCTCCAACAGGACTTGAACCCATGACCTTTGGATTCAGAGGCTAGCATCTAGCCGATTCACCATGGCAGCTCATAGCATTATATTTTTCTGCTCAAATAACTCTAATGCAAATTATTTGTGTTTTTTTTACTTGTTTTTGCCTATCCAGCAAAGTTCAGGATACTGTCAGTAGAATTCAAGGGACTGGCAGTAGAACTCAGGAGGTTGTATAGCGAAGGCTGATACAGTAGAAGGGGCAGCAAGTCTGTGTATTTATTTTGGTGGCCACTTTTGGACTTGTGTTGGTATGCTAGTGTATCAATTACCACACGAATGGAATGCAGAGTGGCTTCTACGTCTAACATGCTGGAGTTATACATGACTCAAGAGCATAGGAGCCTAAAAATGTATTCGGGACTATGAGCTATATGAGACTCTAGGTATGAGTTTACAGCTGCAGGTCCCAGTATTTGGAACTGGTGTTGAGGCCCGATTTGACCTCTGAGACTGTGATGTGGTGTTTGTCATGACCTCTGAGACTGTGATGTGTGGTGTTTGTCATGACCTCTGAGACTGTGATGTGTGGTGTTTGTCATGACCTCTGAGACTGTGATGTGTGGTGTTTGTCATAACCTCTGAGACTGTGATGTGTGGTGTTTGTCATGACCTCTGAGACTGTGATGTGTGGTGTTTGTCATGACTTTTGAGACTGTGCTGTGTAGTGTGTGTGTCAGACAGACAGACAGACAGAGACAGACAGAAACAGACAGACAGACAGACAGACAGAAACAGACAGACAGAAACAGACAGACAGACAGAGACAGGCATACAGAGACAGACAGACAGAAACAGACAGACAGAGAGAGACACAGAGACAGAGAGGTTAGCAGACCAACACTTGCTCATATCGTCAATTGTAGATTTGGCGTAATCATGTGTATATTTGTGAATCAACAGGTCTAACAGCACTAGTACAACTAACTTTGAATGGAATGTTTAACAACGGTGTTTAGCCATTGGTTAGCTTCAGATATAACATGTGGGACCTGTTATGTTACCTTTTATAACTATGATAATCACTGCTTTTATACATTGGTAGACCTAAGCTAACCCCCCCCCCCCCCCCCCCCCCCCACTATGTGTTCAACTTTGGTTTTCATCTTTCTGCTGGATGCTTCTAACTAAGATGATGTCTCATTTAGATATATTATGTCCAACAATGAAAACTAGTTTGCAGAAATAAATATTTTAAATGAGAAAATGACTTTAACAAAATATTAATTGCATGCAGAAAATGGGCAGGTTATTCACCTTCCAAGAGTATATAGATATAACAATATTTTAATTATCTTGAATGCTGATCATCTCGGAAGTATCAGATTCGAAGCCTCATAAAGTTGGATTTATTTACTCAAAATGACCTAGGCTTCACTCGAAAGTCTCAGATTCAAGGTCGCATAAAGTTGGAAATTTTTTTAATTTTTTTAAATGACCTAGGATTTCAGATCAACCCAGCCTGCAAAGGGTAGAAGGTAAAGACCTAGGAAATAAAAGTGGCCAGTGTGATATTGATCAGAGCACCCATCAAGTGCTGACTGGTCTATACAAATGTGGATCTACCACCATATGCCCGGTAGGCAGCTAAAACAAAATGGGTCCTTTAATTACATTAAATTCGTTTCTTTCTTCATACTCTTCACCAACAATAACTAAGTGAAAATGTTTCAAAAACAAATTTTCTCATAAAAGTGAACTACATGCTTTTAAGTGAATAATTCTCCAAATGTGTAACTGTACATAAATTGAATTCAATCACCATAAAATTTACTCTGAAATAGGCATACATGGAGGGCTTCACAAGAAATAAAAGTTAATAAATGTTATTCTTCTCTATAAAAATTCCATAACTACTCTGAAATTTTAGATACCACAGTAGAAACATCATGCGCCTCTGGAAGACTCAACAAACTTCAGAGCAGAGCAGAAAGCAATTATTTATTCAGCCAAAGTGCTCGAGAAAAGAACAGTTTAAAAACAGCAAAACTGTTTTTCTTTGTGACTGCATGTCAGTCCTGCAGTCAACCCAGAGGGATCCTTTGAGACAACATGGAGAGAGAACCGACATGCCAGCTAAACAGACTCACAGAAAACAATCAAATCCTTCTTCAGTGGATCCCTGCTCACTGCGGCATACCAGGAAATGAGTTAGCAGATAAGACTTGCAAAAAATGGAACAAAGGAGAAACAACACGCCCATTTATTGTCATTACCAGAAATCAGAACACTTATCAAAGGAAAATACAAGGAATTGTGGACAGAACAAACTAATAGTAAACATCCACAAGACCCCATCAGCAGACTCAACAGAAAGCAACATACAACAATTTTCTGTCTACGAACAGGACACTGCAGGCTCAACTACCACATGAATAAAAGCTTGTACAGTCCCCACAGTGTGCCTGTCAAACAGGACCACAAACACCTGAGCACATTCTGCAGACCTGCCCACTCTACTTGCAACTTTGAAAAGACACCTGGCCTCAAAAGCAAAGAGTGCAGAGCAAGCTATGGGGAACCATGAAGGACCTGCTACTGACATGCGAGTTCACAGAGGCAACCCACCTGATGGTCTGATCTGAGCATACGAAACCAAACGCAAAGAAGAAGTAGAAACTAACAAAACATTTTTTTTTTTGCTACTAATCTTTAATCTTTTTTGTCATCTTCACATGTTTAAAAAAAAACACATACACATACACAGAATTTTAAAAGAAGGATATTTTCTTGTGCAATGTGTTTGCCTGATCTTTTTGTTTTCAAGCTTTCCTGTGCCAGTTTCTAAATCAAACTTCTATGACAGGAAATGAACTTATACACATGTACGTACCGTATTGCTAAGACTGGTGTTCTCCGATCTCAAGATGGCATTTGTACGGCTCAGCTCAGACTGGAGGGTCAGCATCTTCGACTCTCTCTCCCTGCAGGATTCCACGTCCTTCTGGAGGTCTCGGTTCACTATCTTCAGCTCAGAAATGTCCTTGTCCAGGGTTTGAATCATCTCTTGTGCACTGGAAACAAAAAAATAAGCATGTGACATTAGGTTCACTATTTTGATCTTATCAGTCTTAATTTGATCGTAAAGTGACAAAAAAGATATCGCTTGAAAAACGGGAACCAAATATTAAATATATGGGGCAAGATTCACTGTTTGATCTTATCAGTTTTAATTTGATTGTAGATAAAATTGTGAAGACATCTCTTGTGAACTGGGAGTAAAATATTAAATGTGTGAGGCTGAACACTGAAATAAGGAATTGACATCCCAGCAATCAGGACACTCCATCTCCATCTTCAGCAGCAAGCAAAGGGTTCCAATTCCGATGGTGCCAGTAACTGATTGTACATTCATCTAGCCTTTCCTTTGAGTGTTGAGCGTCAGCCAGATCCCCTGGTAACCCCCCATTCTCCTCAGACCGTAATGATTAAATTGTGCCCCCTCACTGTTCACTGGCTCCCAGAGGACCCTCACATCTTACTTGTCATACATAATTCACCAACAAATGGTGCCAAAATGTGTTTCCAAAGCGAGGGATAAAGTTCCTCCTCTCCTCAGCACAAAGCCTGGGCAGTTCTGTAGAGACCATTTGTTGTCCATGCAGTATAACCCCCTTCTCGGCCTGCTCTGTTAACTCGAAAGGAAAGGTAACACTAATATGTTTGGAACAAAGCATGTTGCAGAAGTTTTTGGATCAAAATAGCAAGATGATACTGTCACTGGAAAGACTCAATTGTGAAGATATCTCTTATGCACTAGGAACACAATATTAAATGTGTGAAGTAAGATTCATTGTCTAATCTTATCAGTTTTAATTTGATTATAGGTATAGCCGTGACGATAATCTGAAATCCTAAAGATAATCTCTTGTTCACTGTGAACAAAATTTTTAATGTGTGTGATAAGCCTAATCAGTTTTAGTTTGATTTTAGAAAACATTGTGAACTTATGCACTGGGAACACAATATTAAATATGTGAAGTAAGATTCATTGTCTAATCTTATCATTTTAATCTAATTACAGGTACAGCCCTGAAGATAATCTGAAATCCTGAAGATAATCTCTTGTTCACTGGGAACAAAATATATAATATGTGTGATATGATTTACTGCCTAATTGTATCAGTTTTAATTTGATTTTAGACAAAATTGTGAACTACTGCAGTGGGAACACAATATTAAATATCACTCTCAATCTGATCATGAATAGAGATGAAGTTTTGCAATCCCAGCAGGTACCTGTACCCATTTCACTGACCACATATGTGGATGTAAAGGAATCACCTCTCGATGATTATTGTTGTTGTGTAATACATCATTTGTGTAAAGGGTCCTTAACTTTATTTAGATGCTGATACAAGAAAAGGAAGAACAAAAAGACACTAAATAATAAAGAAGTTTACCGCTTGTAATCTTCCTCAAGATTTGCCAACGATGCAAGCCTAGCCTTGAGGTCAGTATTTTCAGCCTTCTGTCTCTGCATGATCTCCTGATAGTTCTCAATCATCTGATGGTTCTGTCTGCGCTCCTCCTCCAGACATTGAACCTGGTTGTAGAGGAAATGATTTCTTCAATCACTGGATTTCTTTCTAAAAGTGAAAAACAGCCACATACAAAGCAGAGATGAGAGCAATGTTCTACTGGCACATCAGGTATATACTTTGTTAGACCTATATCTCCATAGACCAGTCGGCACTCAGTGGGTGATGTCATCCCCTTGATTTCCCAGGACATTACCTGGTAACCATTTTAGGTTGGGTTGACCCGGGAGCCAAGTAAAGATTTTGAAAAACAAATCTGTCATGCTTCAGATTCAAACTCAAGATCTTCAGGCCAAGAGTAAAAGATTAATCTACTGAACTGATTTTGATGGTAGTGAACAATACCGGATTATACAAGGTAACTGGGGAGTTTCTGTGGCGAAGTGGTAAAGCTATTTGCCGCCTGCTCTAAAGGTCACATGTTCATTTCACAAACTGCGTTGTGTGGTTCATGAGTCAAATTTGTACCCAGATCCTTGGGGATCATCCTTGTAGTTGCGAAGTGTGTACGTTGCAAGCTGGCCATTCTGCTGAGAGGCCAATCCGTACAGGATAAAACCTGGTGCAATGAAGTTGATCTTTTTAGACTTTAATGTAACATGGAGATAGATCAAGGACAGTTGATGATCTACTCAGCAGTGTTGTCACCATCTCTTTCTCTCTTTTTCCATCTCCACCCTCTCCCATCTCTCTTTCTCCCTCCCACCCTTCTTTCCTCCCTCACTCTGTCTTATCTCTCACACACTCTCTCTCACACATACATACACACACACAAATATATACATATACAATTTAATAGGTTCTTACCTTATCCTTATAAGTTTTCATTTCCTCAACTACATCTTTGTGCTGTGATTTCAGAGATTCCAGTTCTCGCTTTATCATCTGGTGAACCTATTTTTTTATTTATTTTTTTTTAATTAAAAATTAAACCCTTTTCTAGTTTCACAAGGTAAATAATTTCAAAAATTACTTTAAAAATCTAAAAATAAATATTAGTTACTGGTTTAGTTTCTTCTTCTTCTTCTTCTTCTTCTTCTTCTTCTTCTTCTTCAGCCATTCCAAAAGCCTTAACTCTGTTGATTGAGAAGTTCTGTTTTGCCTAAACAACATTGTCATTGTCGATCGTGTATCCCGTACATTCTGCTTCGCACACGGCTCTGTACTTGTTTCTAATGTTCGGAAGTACGATTAAACTATTCAGGGAAAGTCACTCTGCCAAAATCCTTTAAGATATTTTCCCTATCGTGCATAATTTGAACGGATTCACAGCGACATTTTTTTAAACAGTGCATTTTCTAAGTTTGTTTTCGAGTGCCATGAATACCATTGTTCCCTCCACAAGTACAGGTCACAGAATGCGTCTTTCTGTGGCCAAAGCTCTGAAATTGTTTCAGTCAGATGTTTTTAACTCTGATAATTATAATGAAAATTTAGATTTTTCTGAAAGTGATTCGGACGGGGTATTTTCACCAGCGAAGCTGAGCGATCCGCTGTTCTGAATCTAGCGATTCTGATGAGTTTATTATTATTATACAGACAATGTCCCACTGCTACCGTATTTATGGTGTAAGAGAAGGAAAGTGCTCTAAACAAAGAGATTGTACTTTACTATGGCTAAGCTACACTGAAATCATTGCAGTTACAGTCTGTATCTAACTGTACAAAGTAAGAAGTACATAGCATGTGTATAATGGCTTATTTTTCTGCTATTTTTCTCTAAAAATTTTCTTAGCACTCTGTGAGAACTACGAGTCCTGATTGCTAAACTAACCCAGAAACATATCATAACTTTGGAACTGTTTAGGAAATTGAACAAACTTTGAAGTTTTGTTCTCAAATTTGGATATTCACTATTCGTGTTGCTGTAAATCATGGTAAGTAAAGAATTTGTTTGTAAAATGTTGTTGTTGTGAAATTAACACCTGCTGAATTCTTCTTTACTACTAACTATAAAAAAATTAAACATACACTTATCATCAGATTCAAAAAGTAAATTTATTTCTTTTTTAAAAATGTATATTCGGTTACTAGGATTAGAAGTATATTACATTCTCTATTGCCTTTCTTGTACACCACCCCTCTGCCATTTTTGTAAAGGGAAATTAATGTGGGCCAAGTCTGTAAAATTCATGGGCCTGAAAGAGTTGAGCTTCAGTACTGCAAACATCATTCATCTCTTTGATTGGCCTTCTTTTCCAGCTGTGACTCCTAATGTGTGTAGGTTGGCCTGTAAATTATCTGTCCACTGTCTTTCTAGTCAGCCTCATGGTCTACTCCTATCTATACTCTTTTGCGTACAGTGTCTGTGTCTCTGTTATATGTCATCCTCCCTAAATTCCTGAGTCATTGCAGTCTATTAGACCTGATAATGACAGTTATTAATGGTCACTTAAAACAGATTTGAATACTGGTTTACAGAGTCTTATGGCGAATCTTTGGATCCATCAAAGATGTAAACAGCAGCGAATGGAGAGTGAGAAGCAACAACGAAATTCGTAACCTGTTTAGATCACCATTGATCACTGGCATCATGAGAGCTAATAGACTGAAAATGTTGGGGCATATTGAAAGAATGTCAGATGACAGAGAAGTGAAAACTGTATACACAAGGGACATGAGTGGTAGCAGACCATGAGGCAGACCCAGAAGACGATGGAGAGAAAATATCCAGACAGACCTGTAAACACTTGGTGGCACCAACTGGAAAGAGAAGGCCAACCAGAGAGATGAATGGAGGCGGGTGATATCTGCAGAAATGAACCTCAAGGGCTCGGAATGCTGAAGAAGAAGAAGAAGATGAATACTGGTTTAGTTTGTCTGCCATAATAATTAGTAACAGAGGACTTTGTTTTTCTTATTATTATTTCTTCTGCCCTCCTTATCCAGTGCGCATAGGTTATAAATGAAACTTTTTAAACTTCTTCATGGTAGGCTTTGCAACTTAAGTTTCTACAAGCTAAGATAACCAGTCTCATGCCAGCCCTCTTTTGTCACTTGTTACCTTAGAATGGTACTATTCTTTGTTTCCCTTTCGCGCTGCGGAAACAAATGGGTATTAACCTTTTTTGCCCGAGAAGGCTAATCTAGTCACTCCTGAGTGTGACCCAGCCTTGTAAATGCTGATTTATCCTATTTCTGAAGTGACCTGTTCTTGAAGAGCATAGTTAAATGCCATTGGTTCAATGTGCGCCTGCATATGTTTAGGAAGCCCAGACATAATTACATTAACTAAACATAACATTTAAAGGGGATTCCTTATAACCCCAATGGTTTTTATTACAGCATGTTTTCGTCAAATTTTCCCCTAAGCCTCATTGATAGAGGTCAATAGGTCACATTCCCCGGGGAAACCTATTCCATTTATTGCTTCATTCTGTTTGTGTTTACTGATTACACTTTTTATATTTTAATATATTTCAAATAAAAAATTTTTAAATATAGATATCTTTTTAAAAAATGTTTATTTATTAGTGACCTGTGTAAAATGGGTTTTTAAAGGATTTTTCCCATGAACTTTTAAGAGCTGATACTCATGTTTTTTTGTGTGTTTTTTTGTTTTGTTTTTTGTATTCATGCGGTAAAAGTAAAGGGATTTATAACACATCAATACTGAAACTTCTTCTTCTTCTTCTTCGTCTGAGTTTGCTCTTATATGTTATGTTGTGGTTTCCAGAAAGGCTACAATATCTGTACCTTTCGACCCAACACATCCATTTTCAGCAAACATTTAGTCACCTTTTACGACATGCTTGTTAAAGAGCAGTGTGTATTGTTTCTGTGTCTCCACGCCCCCCACCCCACCCCCTTTCCGAAGAATGGGCCTTGGAACCCACAAAAGGGAATCAATGAAGCAATTAATATTTGACAGGTACTGTGTATCTGTCTGTAGATAAGCATATTTTTAATAATATACAGAACACCCTGTTATTTAACATAAAGTTCTAAAAACACATTAGAAGGGAAGGACTTCAAGTGTTAGTTATTTACTGTGGATGAACTACTGTTAACATTACACAATTATATCTCTAATATATATATTTTCTTTCCTTTCACCTGTTTAAGTATTTTTTTAAAGTAAAAAGTCCTTCCATACCAACAACACATTGATTGGACCTGTATTTTTATACACATTTCGGCTTTCCAGTGTTGCCAGACAAATATCTTCTAATAACAGGCAGCAAAAGAAGGGATACTTGGGTTTCATCATTAGCAAGGACATGACTACTTTTCGGTCTAGGGCAAAAATGAAAATATTAACTTACACAATCTGTGGTGACTGCACTAGCCATACTGCCCTAAATCCTCAGGTTCAAGCTGCACAAGAAAACATAATAACCAGGAGATGGGGCTCATTATTTTCGATGAAATCTGTCTAGAAAAGTAAACTTTACACAAATCATACTGAAGCTAGACACATTGATCTCTGAGGTGTATATTTAGCTGTGACACTTCCCTGAACAAGGAATGATGAAGAAAAACCCAGTGCAGCACAATTCACACACAAAATGGTCTCACCTCTGATGTGCATTCAACTTGGTGTATAGAGAGGCTAATGAGTTGGAATGACCCCAAGAGCTGTACAGACAATAACTTAGTTGCTGGTAGTGTCTCCTATGCTGGACAGATCAAGAGATAGGAACTAGACTAATAGGAACACAAATCTTCTTGTAGATTACAAAGATCAAGGAAAAACAAATGCTTGTCATAAAGGCCTGTGATAGCTCTTGACAAAACAGGGCGGCATAACTCATTCAATGATGAAACAATTTATACGTAGATCAGTAGTATAATAGCTAGGCAGCAATCTAATGACTACTCTAGCACGGCTTCTGTAAGACAAATGTTATTTAAAAAATGATTACTTACAAGCTTAATGACAATAAAACAAAACTGAAAATTACCTCTTCAGTGTCATTTCTCACTTGCATCTGAGTTCGCAGCTCTGTTTCTTTCAGTTTCAGCTCTTTATCAAGACTTTTGGACTTTATTTCTTCAGATTCCTAGTCAACAAAGTCACAGTACAAATCAAATACAGTTTATTTACATATATATCTAAATCAAAATTATCAAGTAGCAGATCCTTTGCACAAAGTCACTCTTATCACTGGCAGGTACTGCAACTGCATAAAGCAGAGGTGATTTCTCACATGAGGGAGGAGGTAACAAGTAAAATGCAAGATACTCAAAATGATGCAGCAGACTCTGGGTACCACTCAAGACTCGAGGGGAAAGGCAAGACAAGCAATTAACCAGATGAAAATAAGTATGGAGACTGCGCTGGCTGATGGAGCTAATGTGGGCCTGTCCTGAATGCCGCAGTGTGGAAACTTATCCAACATGAACCCAGATGAACACTCTTATAGACACTCACAAGAAAGTCACTGTCAGCTGCTAACTTTCTACCTCAAGAACTTCAACGCCAGGGTGTCCTCAATGTCCTAAGTCCACTGTCAAGCTAACCAATCCCCTGCTTCTTCTTCAGGAAACATACCCTTCATTTCTGTTCTTTTCAAGCCATTATGCCTTTTAATGTGGCCAAAACTAAAACTAGCAGACATATCATTGGCATTACCTGGTATCGTTTCATAATGGACTGGCACTCTTTACGAATGATCTCAGTTTCTTCTCTGGTCTCTTTCAGTTTAATTGTCGTCTTTTCTAGATTAGCCTTTGTTTCCTGAGGAAATAATTACATTTCAATAGGAAAATAAATAATACTGAAAAACCTCACAGAAATGAAAACAAATTAGCATGGCGCGGATGTACAATATCTGATGGTAACTGACAGACCTGCAACAACACTAGGTTGGGTGGCGTAGATGTGGATGAGATTTTTACAAAGCAGGAAAAGAAAGGCAACCATTTCCCTGATGCTAGAGTAGTGGACCAGACATCTAGCTTTTCAAATAAGGTTTTTTTTTTTATTATAAACAAAAACAACCCAAAAAAAAACACAGAAGGACCTGCAAGTATATTAACAATCCCTATGCATTTAAAAAATGAAACAGACTGAACGAGCTTTATTCCAGGCTAAAGCTTAATTTTTGTTTTTTACTAACCACATAAGAATAATTCCTTATTTGGCTCTAGTATACATACATTTAATTATTTAATTTACTTTATGCTGATGACACAGTCTTGATAACAACAAGTCAGAAAGAACTACAGGAAATGATAGACATTGTGGTGTTAGAAAGTGGAAGAATGGGCCTCAGTTTGAATAAAGGGAAGACAGAAGTAATGGTGGTATCAAAGACACGAATTATTCCTAAATGTGTAATAAAAGTTGATGGTGTTATTTTAGGACAAGTACAGAAATTTAAGTATCTGGGCACATGGATAACATCAGATGGAAGATGCATAACTAAGATAAGAAACAGAATAGGACAGGCAAAAGCTGCATTTTATAAAATGAAGAATATCTTGTGCAATATATCCTTGTCACTGAAAATTAGAAAAAGAATTCTTGCTTGCTACATACATCCAGTTTTAACATATGGCTGTGAATCCTGGACAATCTACCGATTGGTAGGCCAAACAATTTCTTGAGGCCTCAGAGATGTGGCGTTACAGAAGAATGCTTAGAATACCCTGACCAGCCAAAAAGAGCAAACAAGAGGTTTTGAAAGAGGCGGGAGCCCGAAGACAACTTATCACAGACATCAGAAGAAGACAGTCATTATTTTTCGGCCATGTTATGAGAAGAGGGAAAATGGAACATGCTGTGACCACTAGAAAGATCTGTGAAAGGAGGGATAGAGGAAGACAACAAGAGAAGATTCTTGACAGTCTTGGTGCATGGCATGGAGGTGTGTCAGCACACAAACTGATACATGCTGCAGGAGATTGTGGATTATGGAGAGGCATTAGTGGGGTTTGTTTTTCTCTCTCTCTCTAACCAGAAAGAAAGCTGCAGTGACCACCTCCACATCCATACTCAAGCTGAATCTTGTGGTATCATATGCTAATCTCCAAACATCGACCATTAACTTTTGCTAAGAAACCACAAGCACTTCTTTTGCCTCTTGACACTGAACCATCAGTATAAATAACCCCTCTGACCGAGCATTATCTTGAAAAAAAGCTGACTTTCTACCTCTGTGTCACCCGCTGGCCACGCTCTGCACTCATTGCTCATTTTGATTATGACTCTACATAAATCTGACTGCTCCGGTGGCACTCTAACCCATTCCTTTCCTCGCCTAATGTTCTTCAGAGTGCAAACCTGTCTGATTATGTCTCCTGCCTGCACCATCCATGACTTTCCTCTTATCAGCTGCTGACCTTTAACTGCGTCCACAGCGTCATGCAGATGGTGATCTGTGTCTGCAGCTACTCTGAGACATGACTTCGCCTGCAGCACCTTGAACCTACCTGCAACAGTTGGTAAACCAAGAATGAATCGTATACACACCACTGGGGCGTCTCTGGTACAACCGAGAATGACCTGCATAGCTGCGCTCTGTATGCGCCCTAGTACAACACCCCCCCCCCCCCCAAGGACACTGACAAAGATACTTTTTTAAATCTTTTACAAAAGCTTTTAGAGTGTTTGTCCAGAACATATCCTATGGCACAAACAGGTCAAAGTGTGTGCCCTGAGCTGAATAGCTTAGCTCCTAGGAAGCGATATAGTAGGTTTAGCAAAGGCAAAAGGTTGTCTATAAAGAAAAGGCACAAATATGATTGCACATGGGGGGGGGGGGGGGGGGGGGGGGGGGGGAGGGAGAGAGAAAGATACACTAAATTAGATGAGAAAAGGGAGATCTATGAGAGGATGTGACAAAACAAAGGTAAAGGACATGATGTAGAACACTGAGACCTTCAAGCAGCAGGGACCCCAAAAAAATCAGTGATATGTTTCCAGTCATGTGATCTCTTTCTGGATAATGTAAATATAATATCACAGTCATAAGCCACTAACTGAGCGTGAACATAAGGAAAAGCTACACTGGCATACTTTATGATTTTCCAGTTCATCTTTCAGCTTGTTCTGGAACCATTTGATTCTGTATTCCGTAGAGTTTACAGCTTCCTTCAGTTTTTCTAGCTCTCTCTGCAGGTTGCTAACTTCAGCACACTGGTCGTCAAAAATTGTACGACATATGTCAGTATTTATGTAATGGAAAATGACATATGTCAGTATTTATGTAATAGAAAATGACATATGTCAGTATTTATGTAATGGAAAATGACATATGTCAGTATTTATGTAATGGAAAACGACAAATGTCAGTATTTATGTAATGGAAAACAACATATGTCAGTATTTATGTAATGAAAAATGACATATGTCAGTATTTATGTAATTGACTAAAATACAATGCAATACTAGAAAGAGGGGGAAAGGAACTGTCTTGACAGTTTTTGAAGTTTTCTAATGTCATATGTTTAGCATTCATTTTATCAGTGTCATATTTAAAACAGCCCAAAAGGCCTTGGGTTCGAATCTGAATTAATGTGGATTTTTCCGACTGACCTCGACTCCCTATCATTATAGCATAAAATGGGTACTAGGCAATGTACTCTGAAGTAAAGGGGCAAATGGTTCTGACTACATCACCCACTTATGTCTGATAGACCTATGGTTCTGACTACATCACCCACTTATGTCTGATAGACCTATGGTTCTGACTACATCACCCACTTATGTCTGATAGACCTATGGTTCTGACTACATCACCCCCTTATGTCTGATAGACCTATGGTTCTGACTACATCACCCATTGATGGTTGACAGATCTATGGTTCTGACTACATCACCCATTGATGGTTGACAGATCTATGGTTCTGACTACATCACCCATTGATGGTTGACAGATCTATGGTTCTGACTACATCACCCATTGATGGTTGACAGATCTATGGTTCTGACTACATCACCCATTGATGGTTAACAGATCTATGGTTTTGACTACATCACCCATTGATGGTTAACAGATCTATGGTTTTGACTACATCACCCACTGAGAGCCAATAGATCTATGGTTTTGACTACATCACCCACTGGCCAATAGATCCATGATTTTAAATAAATCACATATTAATGGCCGATAGATCTACCTGAAAGGTTCTTTACTCTTTCTTACAGTTACATTCATCAGAATCTCCTATCTACAGCTTACAAATGAATGAATAAATCAATCAAGAATTGACATTAGGACATTCCCACACACATGCTTTGTCACCTTCTTCAGTAGCCAACAAGAGTTCCCATGTTAACAGAATCAGTTGCAATGTGATTAAAAGTCAGCCTACGTTTTCCTCTAAGTACTGAATATCATCCTAAACTTCCCCCCCCCCCCCAAACACACACACACTGAATTTGTCTTTCAAGGTATGGATATTATGTAGGTTCTGTTGCCATGTCAATAGTCCAAATGATCCCAGAGCCGTAGGGACCCCCAAGTCATATCCATAGCTTACTGAACAAGTAGTACTTTAGGCTGCTATGTACTATGAAGAGTATGAAGATAGCTTGCTTACTTACTTATGTAAAGTTGGTTAATAATAATTTTTTCTAATATGGCAGGGTGTTCTCAATGCTGCATCTGTTGTTGTTTTTTTTAATGTGTGTGTGTGTGTGGTGGTGGGGGGGGGGGGGGTAGATTTTTTTTTTTTAAATAATCTATATCACGTAGACTTGTACAAATTAATAATTTATTGGGGGGACAGCAAGCAGTACACAGTTAACTACATAATTATCAGGTTTCACATCACAAAAGTAACATCTATCTGAATGCATCTACAAATGTTATCTTCAATACACACTACTACGCATGCCTCACATGCATAGTAACACCCCTCCCCCCCCCCCCCCCCCTCTCGAATCTAAAAATGTTACCTTCATTTCATAATTTGAAACTGCCTTCACTTTGTCTGACTTTGCTGCTTTCAATGCATTAGACATATTTTCTTTTTCCTTCAGGGCTTCTTTGAGTTTAGTCTCCATTTTGTCTGTTATTTGTTTAGCTTCCATTGTTTTAGCTTCTGATTCTGCAAATTTGACAACCATCATGTCTTTTTCTTTCAGACACTCCTCATACATCTTTGTTATCTGATGATTTTAACAAAAACGTTAATCAAGCATCAATAATATACAATACATTCTTCTATTGTCTTAACTGTTATCAATCCCCATGTATCCAAGTAAGCACCAAGACAGTGAAACAGTGAGGTGCTTGCCTACCGGCTCTAATGATTCGGGTTCAAATCCAAAGAGGGGAAGACTTTTTATAAATACCTTGGCTCCAAGATCATTCCAACCTAAAATGAGCAACAGATATGTCCTGGCAAAGCAAAAGCAGGCATATCACTCATCAAGTACCAACTGGTCCATACAAATATGGGTCGCACCATGTGCTTAATGTGTCAGGACATAAAAAGGGCCCTTTACTTTTTAATTTTTATATCCAAACAAAGGTGGTTGACACACGCCTGCAGATCCAAAGGGCAGGGGTATAAATCCGTATGGAGCCAAACGTTTTTATTTCTTCAAATGCCCTTGACTCCCAGGTTGACCCAGTTCTCATGGGTACCAGTAAAAGTCCTGGGAAGTACAGGCAGCCGGCGTGATGTTAACCATATGACCTACCAAGTGCCAATTAGTCTATAAAATACAGGTCTAGCATTAGATGCCTAAAACGCCTCAAAGCATTGAAAAGGGTCCTTTACTTTAAAGGTGGCTGGTCTGGTACTGACCTCATATCCCATGACTTGAAGAATAGAAGGCTAGTACTATACACTCTATACACTTTACGGCATGGAAAGGCATCCGTTACACTTCAGATGCTTACCTTTGGATCACATTTACCAGGAAGTGTAGGAGGAGGATAAAGTTAACTTGATCATTATGAGCCAAATGTGTCTCATTTCAAACTCTGGATATCTCATACATTCTGCATTTTTTGTATTTACCTGTTAAATGCAAGTGTAAACTAAGAAACAAAACAAAAACTATTAAAACAATCCTAAAAAAGAGCCTTTTGTCTGATATTTTTTGTAAAATGTGATACCAACCTGGTCAACTCTAGATTTCAGCTCATTCTGTAATGTAGTTACAGCTCTTTTAGCAGCACTGTCATGAGACACAAGTTTGTCTTTTAATGCCTTTATTTCTTCTTGCTGCTGAGCTATTGTGTTTTCTAGCTGCAAGATAGAAGCAAAGAATCATTAGGATGCCATTACTACAGAAGCAAACAAGAAAATAGGGCTTCCTTAATGCAAGGGGAAACAAAACATTTAGACTTCATTACTACAGAAGCAAACAAAACATTATTATAAAAGTAAACATGGCATTAAAACTTCATTATTATAGAAGCAAACAAGACACTAGAACATTATTATAGGTGCAAATACAACATTAGGACATCACTATAATAGCTGCAAACATGAGTTTTCATTGTTATTATGAAAGCAAACATAATGTTATGATCTCATTATTACATGAGTACAGAAGACAGTAAAGTCAATGTAAATGACCCTTTCCACCGCCTTCAGGAACATTGGGTATATAGTGCCAGACCTTTAATTTTAGACCAATCAGCCCTTAGTGGGTGATGTGGTCAACATCCCACTGCCCCCTTTCATTCCCTGGACTTTACCTGGTACCCATTTAATGCTGCGTTGACCTGAAAGCCAAGGTCATTTTAAACAAGACATTAGGACTTCACTAGGAGGAAGCCAAATATTAGGACTTCCTTATAATGAGAAACTGTTCGAGATGTGATTTTTTAAAGCAGAATGCTGAGAACACCATGGACATACAAACAATTTAATAAAGATGTCTTGAAAGAAAAAAACTCACAAAGAGAAGTAATTACCTGCAACAAAAGATGATAGCCCATTCTCTGAGCAGGTCATGAGAATAGAAAACTGGAGTACAGCACAAAAGTTGGAAAGGAAGAGAGATAGGGAAGATCAAGACAGAAGATGCTGGAAAGTTGTACAGTTTATCAAATATGTATCACAAACGAATGACAGTACTTCTTCTTCTTCTTCTTAAAGGCCATGTCATGTGGCAGTGGTAGTCATGCCCCTCTAACTTTCCTACCGTCACAATGTACTCCATAAGGCACCACCATTTCTTTGGCTACTCACCATTTTCTGAATCTGCAGTACATAAATGCCACATGGCATGAATTATAATAGAAGAAAGGTTACCTAATACTGCATGCAGTGTAACACTTATAAGATTATTTTAACTTCCAAATATCAAGACTGGCTCTATTTAACTCTTAAGAACTCTCTAACCTCAACTAACAAGGATATATTGAAGATAATATTTTCATTCTGATGATTTTACAACACACTATATTAAAATCCTTTTTCAAGTACAGTATAATCAGCAGTAGAAAAATGCATTGTAAAATGTACAGTTGTTTCACCAAAAGCCAGGAATCTCATGGAAGATCAATAATCAAAATTCACAAAAACAGATAACAAGTAGCAGGACTAAAAAATCATTTTTATGAAAAGAAAGGGTCTGGAGAACACTGAGACAAATGGAAATTTTAAATGAAGTGGTAAAAAAGAGGATGGAAATATTTGATGTTCTGGCAGAGTGGTATGGAAACCGCTCAGGCCGAACTTACCAAGGACCTGCAAAATTGTTACAGATGAACATAATCATGTGTGCTAATTAGGCACATGATGATGAATTTCTCTCTTTTTTTCTAACACTATTAAAAATATCAGGAATATTTATACTACACTTGGAACCTTCATTCAAGTTATGAGTACCTTCTTAATCTGTGGTGAATAAACTTCATCAGCTTTCTGCATTTGTAACTTTTGTTGTTCATCTACTTGAGTCTGAACCTGATTAAGTGATTCTTTAGCAGAGTCTCTTTCATGTGCTAGTCTGAAAAAAGGTTTAATGGCAATTGTTTCAGCATTATTTCATGAACTTAGAGCTACCGTAGTGCAGCAGCTAAACACTTGCCTGCAGATCTGATGGTCATGGGTTCAAATCTGAATTGAGCCAGACTTTTATTTCAAAAATGACCTTGGCTCCCAGGTAACCCAGCCGTAAATGGATACTAGGTAATGTCCTGAGAAGTAAAGGCAGCCAGCATGATGTTAACCACATCACCCCCCAAGTTTCGACTGGTCTATAGAATATAGGTGTTGTACTACATGCCCAATATGCCTGAAGGTGTGGGAAAAAAGGTCCTTTCCTTACTTTTACATCATGAAATAATACTATACACCTGCTGTCTGAAATACTGTAGGGACTGCATGATTCATGTATGGGTTTCTAGGGCCCCGCTGTAGGAAAGACAAGGATATCCAATGCCTCCCGAAAAAGCATGTCATAAGAGTTGACTAACTGGGGGCTTCCTTCCAAGTAGGAGCACATTTGCCTAAGAAGCGAAGAACCAACAACTGCATACAAATAAGCCGGATCTGTAAAACGGATGTGCATGCAACATACAAATTGTAGAATAAGATTAAAGTCCAGAGGTGGACAAACAATCAAAACTTTCTGTCAGAGCTTTTAGCCAGCAAATGCAAATAGGAAGAAAAAGAAGCTTACCAAGACACTGGTCCAGGATCAAACCTTAGGAGGCCCCCAAGTATAGCAAGAAATAGGACAACTGAAACATCCCACAGTATTATGTAAGAGGCAACTAAGAAGGGTTGGCATGAATCTAGCTGCCTTGCCTTGTAGAAAACTTCAGCTGTGAAATCTATACCAATTGTGGATAAATCAACAAAGGACTCAAAGGTCTTCACTCTTTTTGACTGAGATCAAAGCAAGCAAGTGAAAAACGTATTTTTATCATACAACTGTGTATTAACTTTTTTCTTCCTAGCTTTAGCTTTATAAATTCTTTTAAAACTTGTATTATCTTACTTAACTTGTAATGGTGTTTCTGCATCTACCTCAGCTACTATTGTCATTGCATCAGGATATGTTTAATCTGGTCTTGATAGTTTGTGTTGGAGTATATATTTATGCTGTACAAAGAGCATATATTTAGTATGTATAATGGACCGACTATATTTAGCTCAAAAGACTTAGCCACAATCCCATTTCATATTTACCGCATGCATGGAATTAGAAAAAAATTCACTATGCTTTATTTTGTTTTTTTGACACACACACTGTGTTGTTCCAGTGGGCATGTACAAGTGTAATACATCACATGGAACTGAGTATCAGCTATCTAAAACAATGATCACATATGATATAACACAGTCAGACATATCTAAAGTCAATAAGCAAATTTACACAATCTCTGGAGATAAAATATAAAAAAAAACTAACCATTTTCTTACCTCTGAATTTCTTCATCACGTATTCTCAGCTGCTCAAGAAGCTGCCTGTTATGCTCCTGCATCTGCTTGAAGTCTAGCAACAGTTGCAGGCCATTAGCAGTCTGTTCAAGATCTGTGTCTGATATTGTTGACAAGTGATTGCAGTTCACCCTCTGTGGAGATTTGGTTCGTGATACGTGAGCAAGCAGCTCTGCATCCAGCTCATGCAGCAGTTCATCTTCATCATCGCTCTGTAAAGCTAATGCCAGTTGTCTCTCTATACTGCTATCTGCAGCAACAGTTTGTGACACAACTTGAGCGGGTGAGGGAGAATGCTGTGATGCCTTTCTGGGAGAGTCCTGAGAAACAGAACTTGAGAGCTGCAGGTGACTGTTGAGATTTGTGACTAAACTACTAGGATCTTTGGCATTCTGATGATCAACAGATGATGGCACTGATAATGCTGCAGTGCTTAAACTATCTGCTTCATGCTTAGATATTGATGAATTTAATGCATTATCACTCGCATTCGTTGTGATCCCACTTGTTGCAGATGTCTGCTGAACTTTGGTCTGATGATCCTTCAGAATAACTGCACCAGGAGTCTTCACAGAGTTTGAAGGATCTGCACTAACTTGCAGATTTGGATTACTTCTTGAACTACTGTCTGAAGAGTCAGTTAAATAGCTTTCAGGATAGCATGAACCAGAATGTTCTAAAAGCGTATCTCCAACATGCACTTCATCTTTACAAACTAATACTATATCAGAAGCATCTACATTATTCCCACACACACAGGATGGTTTTGTATCATTACAGTTGGCAGGATTTGATTCATACGTGGATAAATCTCTATCACCACATAGTTCAGATTCTGTAGTATGCAGTATGGGATCATCAGAAACTCGTTCATTGCTTTCAGTTTCTTGGTTTGCTATAATCTGTGAGTCGGCTAAGTTATTATCACAGGGCACTTGTGCTGAATTTGGTTGGGAAGTAAAGCATATTTGTTGGTTGGCATTGGAAAACTGAGGAGAAGAAGAGTCTGCCTGCCTATCGCATTCTGGTGTCTGCAAGTCATGATCAGAACTGCTGTTAGTGAATTCACTGCTCTCATGTCCTGGAATGTTAACTATATTTCTAACCTCTAAATTAACAACCATTGCTTCAGACTGTTCACAACCGTCCTGTACAGATGTATTCAATTGTGAAATGTCTGATCTTTCTTGCTGCAAGCAAAAACTGATATTATCTTCTTCTTCATATGGACATGATCCTCTGCCTGGATTCAAAATACCAATTTCTGCTTCTGGGGCATCATCAAAATGATGTGAAATTTCAACATTTCCTGAAAAAGTACCTGGTCTCTCCAAAAGTAGCTCTGACCGTGCACCAGTGCTAACAGATTCTGCTGTCAATGTTAAATCATGACCTTTCTGTTCATGTTCAGAACCATGGTGCTCTGAATTATGTAATTTAACCGCACCATAGGCAGCCTGTTGTGGATTACTGAATTTCTGATCAGGTCTCACCACTTCCAACTCCAGCAACTGGCGGTCACTCTCACTGCAAGCATCATGATTCACATTATTCTCACATTCTGGAGCCGCTGTCTCATCGTCTTGCTCAAAACTGTCCTCATCTAAAACAACAGATCTGATGCTAGGACTCTGCAAGGAAGCAGAAACCTCATTTAGGCCATTATGATGTACATTCGGTAAAGCTGTGTTCGGCGAATTAAATCGATGATCAGAAGTAACAGAGAGTGTGTTTAAGTCACTGTTTCCAGTGTTCAACAACTGTCCATTCACTTCTTCGCTTTGAGCATCAACATTACCTACAGCTTCTTGTGACATTGCCAAATCTTCCTCCGGATCTTCCTCCTCACCCCGAAACCCCAAGTCACCACCTCCCTGATGCTGCCGCTGTGGCAAGTCAGCGTCTTCTTCTGGATCAGGATTCTCTTCCAGATCAACACTGCCATTTTCCACTTCTGCCCAGCTCATTCTTCATCTGAGAAGAGAAAAACAAAAAACAAACTGTAAACTTTTTTTTTTAAATACAGCAAAACGAGACAAAGAAAGAGTAGGCACATACAAGCATGAAGGCACATGCATGCATGTGCACACACACAAACACAAGAAGTGAGCGAATATGACTACATACAAATAACCTTCTGTCTGGAAATGCCTAAAGACAATGAACATTATTTATATAATGGCACATTTAATGTTCAGTAAATAACTGTGTCTCTGTTTATTACCACAGATATGGTATACAATTATAGCAGACAATTCATTACATCCGAAGAAAGTACACTGACTTTCTTATAAAAATCAAGTTTCCATTAGCAGTAAAGAGTAGTTGCTGGCTGACGATTAAGAACATTGAGCTCTTATGTGGGAAATGCGTATTCAAATTCTCGGTAAGGCTGTGGAAAAACAAAATCCTAACCTGCACAGTCCATGGTGTCAGCACTAGGTATGCAGCCCTAAATCCTCAGGCTCAGAGACCACCTCCCCCCCCCCCCCCCCCAACCCCCCATGCCTACACCACAAAAAGTGAAAATAGTCAGTAATGGCAGTAAATAGTACAAATGGCAATGAAGTGTGAAGTGTTGTGCCTTTAAAGATTTTTCAACAGCAATGTACAGTGAGCTGACCAGTTACTTTCCTCACTGTACTTCCTTTCTATTTTCTAGAAAGATAAAAACTTATCCTCTCCCTGAGTCAACCTCACACAAATCCTAGTCAAAATAAATTCACTATTCCTGAAGATTAAACCCAAACCACTGCTAGGAAGCTATCATGCTAATTACTCTATGCTACTGTAGCTAATCGCAACTTCCAAAATAAGAAACAGAAACAAACAAGCACTCAAAGCTTCTAATATTCACATTCTAAAAATAGATGTTGGTAACCAAGGGTAAAATCTATACAACCGACAGAAAGATGAACGTCCCAGTGCTTTGCAACATCTGTGCATATGCCACAAGCTGATTACATTTTGCCCATTGTTAAATCTAATCAGAGATGCAGCAATAACAGCTTGTGTGCTCATCTAACTGGTTGTCCCATACTGCCTCAACTGTGTTATTACGTAACTGGTTCAATCGTTGCCTACCACTATTGAAACATGAGGGCCGCACTAGTGTGGTAACCGTGCTCTTACCAGTCAGCCTGCGTCCTTAGTTTAATTTATCTTTCTTCTTCTTTTTGGCATTCACGAGCTGTAAACAGGCCGGAAAGTTCTGGTTGTTCATCTACTTCTGGACTTTGGTCTTGTTCTAGAAAATGTGTTTTGTATACACATCTGATTTACAGATCTGGCTTAAATGTATGCAGAATGTTGGTTCCTTGTCACACAGGCAGAGGTATTTGACTTAGGAAGAAATACCCCTATTTAGTTAATTATTATGACACACTTGTTAGGAGGATAGTGAGTGGTTTCTTTTTTTTTTTTCACAATGAGCCCCGGGACACGCATGGGAGAGAAACACACAGATGAAACTAAAAAAGCTGAGAAAACATAATGTTATGGTTATATAGCAGCCACCTACTAAATGTTGGTAAGTTGACTGGCTTATAATGTGAAGACCAGACACAGAAGAAGAATGCTGATGGATGCACATCTCAATGAAGAAACAGCTATCGATTCAAAGCCTATCATTCAACTGATCTTTTTAAAAAGACAACAGAATAATGACAAAGGAAATAATATCACACAGTGACATACCGAAGCATTAACTGAAGGGGTATAGTATTAGACTTTTTGTTTAAACTCTTGATAGAAAACGCACATGTATATCTGGCCAGCTTACTGTTGCTCATCTATGACAAAAGATGATAATCAGTTCTTTCACCCACTAGGTGGAGGCAGATTCATGAGTATGTAGGTGACTGAAAAGGCCAATCTTGGCACAGAATGTTCTTGCACAGTGTGGACAGGGGATCCTGGCTACATCAGTTAGGGCAATCTAGTTTAATCTTTTCTAATCTGTCCTTTGTAAACTGCTGTTGTTTTAGCTGCCTCATCCTGGCAGACAGAGCAGCACCAAAATGTATAGCCATCTCCTCAATCATCATCAGTTCTCCTTATGCCTAGTGGCACATGAGGCTTCAGAGAGGACTTTCCATGCTTTCTTGTCCTGTGCAATCTTCAGTGCAGTTTTCCATGTCAAAGATGCTGCACTCAGCTCACTTTCCATCGTTCGTCTCCATGTTGTTTTTGGGTGCCCCTGTTTTCTCTTTCCCTTTGGTGTCCATGTGAGAGTTGTTTTGGCAGGTATATCAGAATTCCTTCTCATAACGTGGCCAAGCCTCAATGAAAGATATAATCTAAGAACATACACACACAATTAATTTTGTGCAGAGATTTTAATAAACACTCACATAGAAAAATGCAAGATATAAGTGGGGAAAACAATATCAAAACAGTCTTTTAGAGTGTGCGGAAAAAAGGAGGAGATATAAAGTAACGAAGATGTATTGAAAGAAAACAGTCTGCATACAAAAAAGCCACATTTGTTTAACAGATGTACAAGCAAAATTCAAGTTCTGGAACAAGACTGAAGTCCAGAAGTGGATGAACAACCAGAACTTTCCACCAGTGAACGTGAACAAGAAGATGATTCAACAATAAGACCCCTTAAAACTGGGTCCTTAGGCAGCTTTTTGGAGAAAAAGATTACTAAAATACCCAGACTTACATTAGGGAAACACAATATTTTATCCTTTCTTTTATATACCCCAAAGATAACATATTCATCTTTGGTATTTTCTGATGGGCATTGGATATAAGTATGTGGTGTATTTAATAATAATCTGGTTACATCCGACTACTTCTTCTTTCCTCTACTCCTCAAATGACTCACGGCTTTAGGGCAAGAAGTGATCTATGGAACGGGCCCTTCTGTTTGCTTGGAATAAAGTACTTTTCAGTGTCTCTGATATTTCTGCAGTCCATCTTCTGCATGGACAACATATGGCTCTGTTACCGCTTTATTTGTATAACTACTCTCTGTGGTGCCCTGTGTGATGCCAGACTTGTTACATGGCCAAACCATTTGATTTGTTGTCTACCTATAAAGTTCAGTATTGGTTCTGCACCAACTCTCCTTCTGATATCATTATTTCTAAGTTGATCTTTCATCGCTACACCTAGCATAGTAAGTAAACATTTTATTTCTGTCATGACTATTTTCCTTCTGTTTTCAGTTATCCTCGCTGGAACAGTCACATGAAGATGGTACTTTTGTACTGGGTCAGAAAGAAAGTCTCTTTCCCAGTCTTACATTAACTCCTTCACTCCCACAAGGTCCTAGCTAATTCCAAGGCAGTTAGGAATAGCAATACTAAACTCACAGGTATGCTACTTCCAGAGGAATCAAACATTCAACTCTCACAGAAAATAATGTTTTCAGAGTTTTCACTAAACGTTAGGTTGTAAAAACAGAAATAACATTATGGCTGGGACGTGTGGATAATACTCAGTCACACACACAGAGCATTGTCTAAAAAACATGGCTTTTGTATGGGCTCAAATATACTGAATGTCACTACAAGAGTTGACTCACTACAAGAGTTGATTCAGCCTTCCAGAGGATTCTTAACCTACCAACCACCATCATGGTTATTATTAGGTGTCCTTCCAACCAGCATACAACAGTGAGTGTGGGAAATTACAGCTGGAATTATACATCACATTAATGTGGACATTAACAACAAAGAAAAAAAAACAATTGAAACAACGGAAATGAAATATCTACAGGAAACCATAAACATAACTAGAAAAGACAGAATTAGAAATGATGATATCTAGGAAATAAATGTAGACAATACCAGTATTAAACTACATCAAGAGATAACAGATCAAGTGGTTTGGACATGAGGCAAAATTTTCACCAGACAGTGCACCACAGAAAGCTCTGTCACTTAGGTAGATCCAGAGGTCGACCCCGCAAGCTATGAATAGATGAATAGCCGAGGCTAAAAATACCAGCATCTACATAGCATATCAAGGCTCACAGCTGATGCCTCTTCAAAACCTGAACTGAAAGGCAGAACAGGACTAGAGAAGAAGATGAAGGAATTAAACATGAATTAGAGACTTGAAAATATACGTCTACAGATAATTCTGTGAAGAGTTTGGCCATTTAGGATCACAGGTCAAAGAAAAGGAAAACAAAATGTTCATCACTGGCAAATGTTACCAAAGGAAGAAGACAGAGATGGCTTGGGTGTGACTGCCATATGCCTCAAAAAACTCTGGCAAGGACAGCTCTCCGTTGGATGGCACATAGAAAACATGGATAGAGACATGGATGACCCAAGGAAGCCTGGAGAATGACAGTAGAAAGGGAGATAAATGAATGCAAATTAACATGCGGTATCATTGACAGAAAAGCAGAAAACCAGCAGCAATGAAGAGCACTTGTGTCGACAAAAGCACGAAGAGGTTCAAGATTCTCATATCCTCTGAGTTTCCTGGAGTCCCATGTGGGAAAGGGGAAGGGTGGACGAAATATACACCCTGCCCCCCCCCCCCTCCTCCCCCAACAAGCACGTAGAGTTTTGCTAGGATCTGATGTGTTGGGTTGAAAGGTGCAGATATCACGGCCTAGCTATAAACCATAACACACTGTGCCCCAAACACAGTTAAAAGGATCAACACAGAAGAAAATTACCGTTTCATGCTTCAGCACAAATCAGCTGGGATTAGGCACAGTCTAGAAGTGTGTGGCTTCCTATAAAGGTTTGAGTTTTTCTCAAAAACAAAATGCAGCCCATTATCCAGAAGGGCAGTGGTTTTAATCACTTTTAGTATATATAATTACTATTAGTCTAAATCTAATATGCCCTAGTTTGTTTTTTTTGTTTTTTCTGATTTACATATAGTAATTTTTTTGTAAACGTTGATTTTCCTCTTTATAGCTGCAGCTGCTTGAGGAATAAGTTTAAAAACTATTCTTCAAAAAAGTAATTACAATAATATAGGGTTAATTAATTATTGCAGTTACTTGAGTTACACACTTCTTTGCAATCTGCTAATCAAACTTCCCTTTTGGAGGCTTTTGTTTACTAATACTAATTGTTTTGACATTTTAATTTTAAAAAACGCAATTGGCAATTCAATGTAAAGAAAAGAAAATAATAAACGTCTAGTAGAGTCATTAAAATATATCACAATTCCATAAACCACCGAAACTCCACATAAAGACATTGTAACAGTTCAAACTCACAACTATAATAATCATAAAAATCAGATCTCACAACACAAAAATATTTCAACTGGAGTGAAGCCTTCACTCTCACTGAGTGAAATCGGTCGTTCCACTACACTGACAACAAATGGTAAAAAAAAAAAGATCATACCAAAAGTCCAGAATGCCCAAATCTGATAAAGCATTACTTCCCAGTACTAATTTAAGAACCTATTTGCTGTACACGGACAAACAGTGGGATCATTTCAGCAGACTTCGGTTAAGGGTCCAGCCCATCTATGATATATCCACTAAAGTAGCACTGAGGTTTTGGTGATGACAGGACCCGGAAGTTGACAACCAGGCAATGCTCTGTCCCGTTCCAGCACTCTGTACTCATTCATTTCACATGCGATGTTTGGATTCGCATGCAGTCATCACTCATTTGTAGAAGAAGTAGAAGGCGAGTGCGCCCACACGCACACAAAATTGGGGGTGGGGGTTGGCCCCATACAAATTTGAGACAGGGGGAATCATCCCCCTCACACATTTTCTAGACTAGGGGCCCTCAAAAGCCCTAAGCCTGTGTCAAACAGATGTAATAATATATTAAAAATAATTTGAAACGAATAAACAAAAAGATAGTAACTAAACACTTTTGTGTTTTTGTGGGGAAGGAGAGAGGGCTTAGCCACTGTGAAACAAAGATTATGGGAAGGGGGTTTAGGGTACCAGAGCCCCAGGGTCCTTCTCCTCTGGTAGAGGACAGCATAAGATATTATAAACAACTTTTCCAAGTTGTAATACCAACAAAAAAAATAGGACACGGACAAATACATTGCACAACTTATTTCCTTCCATTTTGCTGTGTCCTTTTACTTGTTTTGTCCGCAACATCCTATCACGTGGGTCCAACCCACAGGTGCTCCGTCCTCCAATGCTGCAGCTATCTCGGTGTCTCCGTGCTTACCGTCCGCAGTCCGCAGCCGGTTTCCGAATGCTTGTCTTCTAATACACATTTCCAACAGTCGGTTCATGTTCATTGTTTCTTTTGTCTCATTTCTCTGAAAAGCAGCTCATCCAGTTTGTCTGCCATGTCCGTACTTCTTTATCCACTAACGATTGCAGATACGGCCAGCTGTCGACTCTTTCGCTTTCTCTTCACCCCGGCAGACTATCAGTGCCAAAAGTGGACACTTTCATCCTCTAATGAATTTAAAATGTTGCCAGCAGAGATGAAATGTCTTAGAAGAGCTACAGGAGTTTCAAGGAAAGACAGAAAACGAAATCACGAAATCAGACGAATGCCATAAATAAAGCCAGTCTTACAGGTCATCAAAGAACAACAAATGAAGTGGTGTGGACGCCTAACAAGAATGCCCTGGTACTATCTACCACAGCGAGCCAAACTGAAACGTTACAACGGGTATAGAGCGAGGGGAAGACCTCGGAAATATGGAGTGATGGCATAAAAAACGGTCTTACAGAAATGAACATCTATCCTAAAAGTGCTCTTGACAGAGCTCATCAACGAACATTACATCCCCCCCCCCCCCCCCCGATACTTCACTGAGGAAAGGGTAGAATAGAAGAAGAAAAAGAAGAAGAAGGCACTGATGTGTACAGCAAAATGGTTATTGTGCCTTGGTGAAACTATGAGGGTGACTGCAGTTAAGCTAATGCAATGAATTCCAGAGAAATTGGACTAAAAAGCTCAACAAAATGGGAAAGAGGGAAACGTGCACAAAACAACACAACGTAACGTTTCGGCCGGGCAGCCTTTTTAAAACATAAGTCAAACACACAAACGAGGAATGGAGAGTATGTAGATCTCTAAGGGGTGACGTGAGCGACGTTTAAAAAAATGTGATGCGGAATAAATGAAATAAAATAAAATAAACGATGGCTAAAAAATATAGTCACAATACTGGGAATAAAAGAAATGCAAGTGTTAATGATACATAAATGATTCTGCTAAGAAATAGAATAAAGTAATAATATGAAATAAAATAAAATAATTAACATTTAAAATGTGAAAAGATTAGAACTATTTAGATGAAGGTATGTTGGATATTGATACCACTTGGACTAAGAACGCCAAGGCTGTGGATACGGCGATTTTCCAAAGCGAGGCGGGTAGTATGATCGCCAGAGTAAGATTTTAATGCTGTGACAGATATGTCAACTTTACCGCTGTGGTCAGGGCTATTAAAATGAAGAGGGATTGGTTTGAGTGTCTTCTTGTCGATATCGGAGAGGTGTTCCCGGAAACGATCAGCTAGCTTCCTGCCAGTCTCCCCAATGTATGTCTTGCTACATCGTTTGCAGCTAATTGCATAAATTATGTTTCGGGATTCGCAAGTAAAAGGTTCCCTAATTTGAAAAGAACCATTAGGGAAACTGACCGAAAAAAAGTCTGGACAACGAAAGGACATGTCTTGCAGGTGCTGTGTGAGCACTGAGTAGTCCCAAAAGGAAGTGCTGTGTGGATCGGTGGGAGTCGGCTTCGGACAAGTATGTCTGGTTGCGGTCTCGTCTGTAAACTAATCTAGGTTTCGCACTAAAGATAATCTTGGTGTCCGGATCAGAGCGGAGGATGTCCAAATGACGAAAGAATACTTGTGTGTTTGACTGCGTGTGTGTCTATGTGGCTGTATGTATGTTTCTGCATGTTTGTCTGCTTATGTATGTGTGTGTATGTCAGCGTGTGAGCACGAATGTATATGTGTCTGCTGTGTGTTTCCCTGTGTGTGTTTATATGTGTCTCTGTGTGTGTCTGTATTTTTGTCTAAGTGAGTGTGTGTGTCTCTGTGGGTGTGTTTGTCTGTGGGAGTGTCCGTGTGTGTATGTGTGTGTGTCTCCATGCATGACTGTATGTATGCCTGTATTTATGACCGTATGTTTGTATGTATGTATGTATGTATGTGTGTGTGTGTGTGTGTGTGCGCGCGTGTGTGTGTATGTATGCCTGTGTGTATGCCTGTATGTTTGCATGTATGTGTGTATGCCTGTTTGTTTGTATGTATGTATGCCTGTATGTATGTATGTAATGAATTCATGTATGTGTGTGTTAGTGAGTGGGTGAGCGTGTGTATGTGGATGTATGTATGTATATGGGTGTGTGTATTCACGCGCGGGGTTTTTGCATGCACTTTACAACTCATGCTTTTGTGTTCTTTTATAATATTCATAATATGCATATCATTATACGATCATAACATGCTTTATTAGTAAAATACAACTGCTGTGCGAAAGATGATTGACTGGAAGGGCCGAATGTAAGACGGGCCTGCGTGCCCAATTTGTGACCCTTTAAAAATAAATTTCGTTGGTTCGTTCGTTCCCTTCATATCTTTCAGGTGTCGAGTAATATTTTTTCTGTATAAGAAAACAGATCTGGAGACATTACACATCCCTGTAGGGCACCTCTCTTGCTCTCTTGCTAACTTCATTACCGATTTTTATATAACAGTATTTTGTTTCCAGTAGATATTTTTATTTAGTCTAATGTCTTTTCCATGGATATAATCAATCTGATTCCTGATTTTACTGTCAGGACTTTTCCACGTCCCCAAACTTCTTTGATGTTGCTGATACCAGGTATTTCCGATCATTTCATTTTTATTTTTTATTTTTGCCTATTCCACTAGCCTCTCCCCTCTTTCTTGTCACTCTCCTAACCCATATTTGCCAATTGTGTAAACAATCCTTCTGGTTTCCAATTTTAACATTAAAGTATCCCAATATGATACTTACTTCTTAGTTTGAGTGCTTAGAAGGGCCGAATGTCAGACGGGCCTGCGTGCCCAATTTGTAACCCTTTGAAAATAAAGTTTGCTCGTTCGTTCGTTCGTTTTTGCACTTTTCAGAGGCCTTCTTCCTGTCCCTATAAAATATACAAATGCTTTCTTCATCTACTTTGGGCTGTTGCAGTGTATATTTGAATAATGTTTATGTCAAAAGGGCCTTAAAAATTATCTTTGTTTTATTGCTCATTAAACTAAATATTCGATCTTTCAGTCAATATAGTGAGTCTTGGGCAGTATTTCAAACATACGGGGACCAATTATCTAAATGACTATTATCCTCACAGATACATTTTCCAGTCTGCACCACTGGAAGATTGACTTGGCTTGTGCGATCAGGGGATTGCAGCAAATATGGGCAAAACTCTAATACGTTTTTTAAAACAGCTTTATACCAAACAGTTTTATGCTAAAATCAGTAGTGCTGTCACGCTGAACAGACAAATAGGAGCTGATTCTAAACAACAGTAGGAGTCGGACAGGGCTGCCTCCTCTCCCCAACAATATTTAATATCTTCTTAGAAAAATAAATACATAAAGAAAAAGTTAGCATAGGAGGACACAACATTACAAACTTTACGTCTGCAGATGACATCAACGAGTTGGCCGGGTAGAATAAGAGCTAGCCGAACTCGTAAACCTACTTGATAAAACATCGACCAAGTATGGCATGGAAATAAATGCACAAAAAGACTAAAGTAACGACTTATAATCCAGCTGGCATAACTACACCAATATATTTAAAGGTTACACATTAGAAGAATTCAATCATTTCAAATATTTAGAATTCATTTTTAGTGACCTAGGATTCAACTAAAAATCATGTCTAGGACTACACAGACAACGTCAGTCCTTGCCAAACAAATAGCCTGAAATGGAGATCTAAAAAAATTCTTGTAAAACTAAGCAACGACTGCAGAGAGCATTTGCTATTGGTACGTTTGAAACGTACACGTCAACAATTGAACTCGAAAATAAGATAAAAGCATTGGAAATGAAATCGTTCAGAAAAATTCTTGGAATATCATACGGAGACTCACTTTATCACAAATGACGACTTTCGACATTTAAATACCCAACACACTGGCATCTATGAACATCTTTTAACAGTTAGAAGACTGGAAATGCAATAGTACCGACATGTAATAAAATCGAAAGGCCTCTCAAAAACAGTACTACAGAGCTTGATAGAGGGGAAGGAAGAAGAGGCAAAACAAGAAAGACCTAGATTTAGAACTTGACAGGCCTTAGGCACGCAACCATGAAGTCCATTGCATCTGACAGTCAAAAGTGGAGGGAGTTGATATGCCAGCCAACAACAACTGGTGGCCCACAACACTTCTGCGGGATGATGATGATGATGATGATGATGAAACTAAATTTGTTATTCTACTGCTGCTTTATTAACTATATTTTTAATCGACGCTTGAAGATGTACATAAAAGTGTCACCTACTGTATAAGTTATCATTTACTCTGCA